TGCTACGTTCCATCTTCTTCTCCCTCTTACTCTTCTTAACGACCGGTGCATCTTCCGGTACCGTTTCTTCAGGGATAGGTTCGGAGTTCGCTTTTTTCTTCTTTTTCTTCTTACTAGTAGCATTGTCAAGCATCTCCTCTTTACTTTCAGTTCCTTGAGAGGCATCATTCTCCTTCTTTTTCGCGGTGGCTGTCACCGCCGGCGCCTCCTCCGCTGGTTTCGCTATGGCCGCCTCGAATATTTTCCACGCCTCTTCCACCAGCACGCTGTTCCGTACCCGAATGCTGTTGCTCACGAAGTTCAGGAACTTCTTCTTCTTGCGAGGAATGTTGCTGTGCTGAGACAATGTCGCCAGGAGATCCCGAACAGCAGGAGATATATCAGTAGTCTTTCCCACGACATTGTTGATCGATTCGATCCACGCTTCCTGCTTTCTTTCTCCTTTATTAGCACTGGCCTTTGGCTCCCAACCCTTAGCAGCATACTTAGCTTCTTCAGAGATACATTTGTTGTGTTGTTTGTAATCCTCACCCCAAAAGTCCTTACCACAGTCCATGCAGGAAAGACTTTCACATCTCCTACACTGCTGCTGATAGTGTTTTTCAACTTGGTTTTTCTTCACTGAAGCACCACATGCATTGCATGCAAATACCACCATTGTTTCTTTCCTCTGAAAAAGGAGAAATAATACTGTAAACTGAAGCAGCAGTCAGATAGCCATCAGAAATTTTTTTATGACAATGCTGAAATCATAAAACATTGACATGCTCACTGCTTTTCTAGCAAGGAGTCATTCAAGAAGCAAGATTTGAGACTAAAAGGCAATAAACTGGCTGTTGACTGACAGAAGGAGTATTAACACCTTCTCTCCCAGCTTTTTAGTGGTATATTTGTTTTTTACTTGCAAATACCACCCTGTTATGTGAACAATGTGTCCAACAATATGCCCACAGGCATTGTGCCACTTCTTGGTGGAAACAAATAGGCACTTGGTGGGAAGGGTAGCTGCAAATTCAGTCATAGCTAAAAAAATAACAGAATCAAACACACAATTAAGGTTCAAGTTATCTCAATTACTCAGCAGATACTGCCATTGGCTCGGGGGAGGGGAAGGTAGTTACTCAAAAACGTCAAAGATAAACTGCTTGAAATATGAATCATCTCAAATTTCAAAAACATAGATCTATTTTCATTCAATCATTTTACATTTATTCACTTGTTACTTTGACTTTGTTAGTCGATAGAGCACCTCGAGCATTCATGAAAAAAACTCAACTGATAACTCAACTAAAAACTCAACTGAACTGATATAAAAAGTTAACTATCCTTACAGATGAGGCCTTACGTATGTTCACTAATTTTTCGTTGAAACCTTCTAACACAAATGCGGTATATCAATCCATTATATGCTAAAACCGATAAATGAAATCACTCAACACACCCGTGCGGGCCGTGCGCACTGCACACACAGGGCCTTGGTAACAACTGGATTTCCATTACGTCATGGGTGATGATGTCACACCACGGGTGACGTTTCACTGCTGCTGCTGCTGTCCACGGAGGGCAGCGTTTGTGAGTGGAAAACAGTAGCAACATTGTAAATGAAGGCAGTATTGGCGCTTATGCTACATATGAAATTTATAACAACATATTGATATTGGTGAATGTTTATTTTTGTTACTTTTCATAAACCCTCCATTTCAGAGGGTCTGCATGCAAAATTTCTGTTATTTTTTAGAGTCAAGCTATTGTACTAAGGGATTTATTTTGGCAATTTAGTCATTTGTTAGGTTATAAGGCTGCAGAAACTTTTAGTTGAGGTTGGTATCCATTATCCAGTTGCAGCTATAATCGTGTCATATTTTGTATCATTTTCTGAACATGTAAACACCTACCTATATGAATTCAAATTTTGTGATTGTAGAAAAGCAGTTACCCTCACATTGCAGCGGGGATTAGAACAATTAACCACACTTGTTATACAAAAAGCCTGTTTGCCATCAATTTTGGGAATCCAAATTGGGTATTGGTAAGGTAGATGTAGCACAAGCTGCCCGATGCACGAGAATGGGTCTTTCTAACCAAACCTTACCTAACCTGACCTACAACCTACAGCCTTAAACCTAAAATTTACAACCTACGACCTAGTCCTACGGTATGGCATATCACAACAGCTTGTGCTACGTCTGCTAGTGCTACCATGACCCAACTTTGTGCCAATTCATACCAACTTGGGATGACAGTCACTGCAGATGACAGATGTGTGCTGACCATGCAGGTCTTTGTTACAATTGCAATTCTATTGTGTTACAGGTTCGGCGTTCTACAGCTGCGACCCGCCATGGCTGGGCCACCGCAGCGGCATCACCTTCAGGGTGGACCTGCCCGTGGCCACCCGCCGGTCGGACCCGCCTGCAGTCCGCAGGGAAGCTGCCCTGCGAGCCATTGCAGAGCTCCCGCACCCGGACGTCACTATCTGGTCGGACGGCTCGGCTCGCGGCGGACGGAACAGGGCGGCGCAGGCGCTGATCCAGTTCCACCACCTCAACAGAGAAGAGACCGTGCGCGCTCCTGCAGGGGCGGTCTGCTCCAGCCTAAGAGCAGAACTGACCGCCATGCGCGAGGCGTTCGCGGCTGTGGCCGGCCTGGAGGACGGGGAGTTGGCATCGACCAAGTCGGTCCGCCTCCTCACCGACTCAAGGTCTGGGCTCCAACTACTTGGCCGCGGCCCAGCTAACCAGACCATGGCCCTGGCCGCCGAGGTGTGGAGGCTGCTGAGTGCTGAGCACCCTCACCGAGAACGGCACCGAGACGGTGCTCCAGTGGGTGCCAGGCCATGCCGGGCTGGACGGCAACGAAACCGCCGACCTCCTGGCTGGCGAGGCCACGGCGGGCGACCAAGACAGCGCACCGATCGACCTGTCGAGTGCGCGGGCCGCCGTCACGCGCCATGTCCGGGAGCTGTCGCGACAGAGGGCAACCGCTGCCCACCCGCACCCGGACCCCACGCCTGGCCACGACTCCCTGGCGCGCTGGGGTCGGTGACGCTGTCCCAGCTGAGGACCGGCACATCACCGCTGACCCGTGACACGCTCCACAAGATTGGCCCGGAAGCCGACGACGAATGCCCCGCGTGCGGGGAGCCCGACCGCGCGGCGCACCTACTGACCGATTGTCCGGCCTATGAGGCGGCCCGCCGCCGCCGCTGGGGTGTCGACCCTCGCCTGGTCGACGTCCTCGGCGGCCCGGCGACGAAGGTCGTCACCTTCATCGAGGATGTTGGGCGGACCGAGCCGCCGCTCGACCCGCCTGCGCCGCCGCCCCCCTGAGCGGGTTGGCAATGGGATGCAGAAGAAGAAGAAGAAGCAACTGCCAGCGCGCCACGGCGGCGAAGCCGAGTTCCGCCGCTGGACCGCCCGCGCAATGGCCAGCACAGACAAGAGACAACCGAATCACAACACCTACAATTACGTTATTATGGTATTGACATTGTTACAATTAACCCTGCTCTTTCGAGCGTGGATGCACGCTGAAATTGTCGCATAATTCCATGCAGCTTCCACCCTTCTGCAATACAAAGTTTGAATACAAAGTAGTCTTACAATAGGTTTAGAACTTATGTGCAGATTGTCGATGCTGGTTGACTTGATGATTGGAATTGTGTTTATCTGTTTATCTGTTTTGACTTAAATATATGGCCATGTACTATGGCCTACCTTGGGAAGTGTCTCTGATTTCAACAAAACATTTTTCATCAGGATACGCTGCAGGGTACATAGTACATACGTAGTGAAAATTTTGAGCATGTATGGGTGCGCATGTGGAGATGTAGACTGCGAATGAGACGGACTACGACGGTTTTTGAACCAATTAAATCTGATTGACAACATAATGTAGGATTAAAAACTGACTGTCAGAAGAATATTCACAGAATATTCACTTCACCCAGTACAACGAAAAGGGAAAGTCAGGAAACAGGCAGGGTACATCTCGAAGATCAATCAAATTGCAGGTGCCGATTGGTTATGGATCATTGTAGCTCAATGTACTGCCTTGTGCTGCTTTATTGATTGAAATTGCTTCCAGCTTGTATTGAAAGAAGTCATTATGGAAGAATTAAAAAGGTTCTTGAAAAATTTAAATACTTTGAATTGATATTTATGCAGAATTATACACCCGTATCATTCTTTACATGTCAATATTTGTATATTATCTAGCATATAAGAAAATAGTGGCCTCAAGTTTCTAGAAAATATCTGATTTTACTCTCAGAGCCACTGCAGATCCCTAAAAAGTTAGGAGCCGTCTTCATTATTGAATGTATAAACCCAAATAAATTATCACTGCTCAAAAGTGGAAGAAATGACAAATGAAATAAAGTTTTCCTACAGCGTTGCAATCCAGATTTCAAGATAGTGATGGGCGCACTAGAAAGCAAGTAAAAGTACTCCACAAGGCAAAAGTAAGGAACAAGAATATCCTTATACTGTTTCAGAATTCGGTAACAAACATTTTTTGTGTGTTTTAAATACCCGAACAAATCGATTCCAGAATCAGTCTTGATAATATTATATGGTTTTTGTATGGTGTTGGTGGTACTTGAATGACCAAAGTCAGTACATGTCCATCACCTTTCGATATTTCCGTGGTGCTCGTTCCCATTTCATAGCTGCTCACGGTGTTTTCTGCTGACGTCATATGGTGCTGCTCCACTAGCGCCACCATACGGCGTCAGCTGGCGAATTATCCAGTTAATACCAGAGCCCCACACACAAAGCACGTGTTGAACCTATGCGCCGCTGATGTAACAACTGCGCCATCAAATGCTGTTTTGGTAAATATATGTTCTAAAGCCGATGCTAAATCGGCCGATTTAGCCGATTTAGCAATTTGCTAGGAGAATTGTCGTTGAGGTTCATATTTGACGACAAGTTGCTAGGAAACGTCCGAGTCGATCCGTATTTCATACCTTCTTAGAACAGTACGAATATGTATTGTATTGCAATACATTCGTACGGCTGTATTTGTGTTGATATTGCAGTTTGGCTGTATTAGTGAAGTATTTAGTATCGTAAAGCCGTGGTACGATATCGGCAGATATCGGTACATCATTCTGTCATTTTTCTATACACCGCAACCTACCTTGTGTCAATATTAAATCGCCTACCTATTGGTCCCTCGGGCCTCGGCCCCTCCACCTCGGGAGGCTATTTGGTTAAGGGGCCTTGGGCTTTTGTGCTGTTTCGTTCTGAGAAAAAAACGAGACTGAAGCTCAAGCAGCTAAAGACGTCATCTGCGGCCGGGCCAGATGGTCTTCACCCTCGCGTCCTCCACGAGATCAGGGACTCGGTATCCAGCGAGCTTGCATCAATCTACAGGGAAACACTCGACACTGGAGTCCTACCAGAGGATTGGTCCCTGGCCGACGTAATCCCTATCTACAAGAAGGGCAGCAAGGACAATCCGAACAACTACAGACCCGTCAGTCTGACGTCGATACCGTGCAAAGTCATCGAATCGATCATCAGAGACGAGATCACGGACCACCTCAAAACCGAGGACCTCATCTCCGACGCCCAGCACGGGTTCCGCCCGGGCAGATCGTGCGCCACGCAGCTGCTGATCGCCATTGAGGAATGGAGCAGGTTGATCGAACGCGGCCATCCCATTGACGTCCTCTACCTTGACCTCGCCAAGGCGTTTAACACTGTCTCGACGCGGAGGCTTCTCCATAAGGTGGCAGCGCACGGAATCAGAGGGAAGCTGCTCCGATGGATCGAGGCATTCTTGGTGGGAAGGAAGCAGCGAGTGATTGTCGGCAACTCCCGTTCGGCTTGGATCCCCGTGCCGAGCGGAGTCCCGCAAGGTTCGGTGTTGGCCCCAACGCTGTTCCTGCTCTATGTCAACGACCTGCCTAGCGTCCTGAACTGCAATGTCAAAATTTTCGCTGACGACAGCAAACTCTACCAGGCCGTCCGAAATCCAGAGGATGCACTCTCCCTACAGTCCGACCTCGACGCCGCTACAAGGTGGAGTACGGATTGGCAGCTTAGTTTCAACGCTGACAAATGTAAGATCCTGCACATCGGCCGTCAGGCACTCAACCATGACTACTACATGAGTGGAACAGCGCTACAGGCGGTGACAGAGGAGAGAGATCTGGGAGTGATCGTCGACGCGGACCTGAAGTTCAGGCAGCAGGCAGCAGCGGCCGTCAGCAAGGCTTCGCGAATCATGGCGGTGATTCGTCGATCCTTCTGCCTGCTGGACCAGAAGACCCTGCCACTGCTCTTCAAGACGCTGGTGCGCCCACATCTCGAATATGGCAATATCGTCTGGGGCCCCTTCAACCGGACAGATCAGCTTCGTGTCGAGCGTGTCCAACGCAGGGCTACGAGGCTGGTTCGAGACATTCGCCACCTGCCATACGAAGCAAGGTTGAAGTCCCTGAAGCTGCCCTCGCTGCGATACCGACGTCGACGTGGGGACATGATCGCTGTCTTTCAACTGATACACGGGAAGCTGGATCTGAAGCCAGAAGAGTTCTTCGACAGAACACATGCCAGGGAAACCAGAGGACACCCGTGGCGCCTGGCCAAACCCCGAGCAACTTCACGCGTCCGTCGAAACGCCTTCTCAACGAGAGTCATCAACGACTGGAATGGACTACCGCTGGCAGTCGTGAGCGCCGACTCTCTCAACCAATTCAAGAATCGTCTCGACAAGCACTGGGCCCATCTCCTATACACACCACCTACGCCCTATGAGCCTTAACATGATCCGTCTAGAAGCTCGACTGGACCGGTAGTTTACAGGCCTTTGGCCTCTCTAAATTCCGTTCAACTTAAGTAAAGTAAGTAAAAGTAAAGAGAAATATGCATTAAATGAGATCAAGATGGAAACGACCTTGCAAGAAGAAAACGATAGTTGTTTTGCGACGAAGACTGATAATGTTTTTCAATCGTTGATTCGTGATGAAGATAGCTTAATAAATTGGCTTCAGGTGTGTTCTGCTCATGGACTTGTGATCACAAAAGAATACTTTTATGAAGAAATTCTTCATCGTTTGCAACTAACAACGAATGGACAGGTCTGGTAGGTATGAGTAGGTCAAGGTATCTTGATCTTGTATACCTACTTGCACAGGTACTTTTCCATCAGTGTACGTACTTAAGTGTTTGGAAGTCACCCATTGCGATCAGTTTGAATGGCTAGCCATTCCTCAGCCATTTGCTTGTTTCAAATGCTAACAAAAGTCTTAAATCTTTTAAATGCACTGTATTTGTAATGAAAGTTACAGATGTGAGAATATGTTGGCCGTTCTAACTCTGTATTATTGCCTCCCTTCCCTAGTGCTGACGATGTGCGTCAGTGGCTGGATGGGTTCTGCCTCCGCTGGGCAGACAAGCTGCGGTCTGGTCCGACTGGCGCATTGCTGGCTGACAACCCACCACCGACACCAACTCCAGCTTCCTGGTACAGCGCGGTGAGTTCGGCGGTGGCCGGCCGCTACCCCGCTGTGCCCCTCTCGGGGTCCGACCGGCTGCTGCACCTCGCCGCCGCCAATGTTCTGCTGGACCGCCGCACCGCGGCCGTGCGCCGTGTGCGCTCCGACACCGATGCGGCCGGCGCGCAGCGCGACAACGTGGCCTTCCTGGTGGCGGCGTCGGCGGACGGCGAGCGCGTGCCGCTGATGATGCTCACTCCGGCCGGCGGCCTGGTGCGCGGCGACCTCCGGCCGGAGGACAACTGTCTTCATCTGACCACCAGGAACGGTGGGTAGACGGCGGGAACAGGGCCGTGAATCGGTGTTCATTTCAGTGGAAGGATATTAGATGAAGGGGTATTGGGAATATTTCATCATTAGTAGCAGAAAGGCTCTGCGTGCTTCTTTAAACATTTCTGCAGTCTTCTGCTTCAGTAAGAACTGATACCAGAACGAGAAATACGAATAAATTAAAAATAATACCCTCCTGTCCCGCTCTGCTATCTGACAGGACGCGATTAAACTCGCCTCCCTGTGGTACTCTGCTGTCTGACAGGACGCGATTAAACTCACCTCCCTGTGGTACTCTGCTGTCTGACAGGCACGGTGACGTCTGACGCGCTGCGCCGGTACCTGTGTGAGTGTCTGGACCCGCACCTGACGGAGCGCCAGGTGGCGCGGCCCGTACTCGTGTTTGTCGACGGACGCCACCACCACGCCAGCCAGGAGCTGTGCCGGCTCTGTGATGACCTGGGCGTGGTGCTGATTGGCCTGCCCCCGGCGGCGGCGGCGCGCGGACCGCTGCGCAGCGCCGTCGCCGCTCTGCTGGCGGCTAACCTGACGCGTATGGCAGACGCGGCGCAGCGCGGCCGGCGCGCCGAGCCCGACGGCGGCTGCTCGACCTCGGCGCGCGCTCTGCTCGCCGGCTATCGGACGGCCACGCGGCGCGCCTCGCCGCAGGGCATCGCGCACGCCTTCCAGTGAGTCAGGGGGTGGGGGGCACTGACAGATGGCTGTTACATGCTGTTATCGGTTACCTATCTGCATATGAAGGGCATTACTGGCAACGGAAGCAACAGCAAGTGGAGCTATTAGTGTCAATTCTGCTGAGCGATATGTTTCAAAGGAACTGGTTTAACGTGCTTCGAGCAGCTGTTCTGTTACTATGCGTGTTTTTGTTATCGTTCCTTCATCAGTTCTCGTCTCGGAGCGTTGTTGATCGCTTTTGCGTGACCTGTTCCTGACGGTGAATTATTTTGCCGATCTCTCGCGAGTATTTCACCTCCGCTGTGAGGTTCCTACTCTCCGTTCCCGGCTTTGAGCGCGCACTGGAGTCTGGTATGCTCTCGTCTGTGAGTGTCCATGTGTTCCAGATGGAGCGGCCTGTCCACGTGGTCAGAGTCCATCATCTCCGCCTGCGGTTCGGGTGCGTCAGCTCCGGATGTCGCCGAGCTGCAGCTGCCGGAGCCGCCGCCACCTCCACTAACGGCGCCGGCCGGTCTGACATTACCGCCGGACGGCGCGAGCCTCGAGTGGGCCGTGCGGCTGCTGCTCAGCGCCGAGCGGCAGCGGCAGCAGCCGGCGCCGCTGAAGCCGTCCCAAGTGCCGCGGCCCGGTCCCAGCAGCGCCGCCTTCCTGGTGAGTGTGCCCCTCTCCGCGGACGGTGGCGGCGCGGCGCCCGACGGCCCGCCCCTGGACACCGGGGACGGCTGGGTGACCGGCTCGACAACCGTACTCAGCTACCTCATCAACGAGTCCGTGTTCGAGCGCGTCTACAGCAACCAGGCGGGCCGGCTCTGTCTGCTCGAGTCGAGGAGGCGGGAGCTGGAGTCACTGCTGACGCCCAGCGACCGGATCGTCCAGGTGCGCCGCGAACTCAGCACCTGGTGGAACGATACGGGGCGGGTGCGCCGGGTGACGCGCATCACTGGCTCAGCGGCGCAGCCGGTGGCGCTCTACGAGTTCTACCTGGACGACGGCCGGCCGCCGCCGCCGGGCTCGCAGGCGACAGGCGCAGGAGAGGCGGCTGAGGAGCCGGGGGGCGGAGACGCGAAGCTGGCGGAGACGGACGGACAGAAGGACGGTGCTGCGGAGGAGGATGGTGTCCTCGCGGACCCTGCCGCTCCGCTGGTGGCCGTGGATGTCGCCCCTGGCAGCCCGGGCCGCGGCGGGCGCACCTCGATTCCCATCCCGGCCACCGGTCTGCCGGACGCCGAGCTGCTCCGGCTTCTGATCGACCCGCTGCTGGACAGCCCAGCGCTCAGCCGTCCGCCGGCCGAGAAGGAGCCCAACACAGCCTACCTGATCAACAACGAGGCCAACGTGCAGCGCCGCCGGCGGGGCGCCCCGTGCCGCTACGACGACGAGCCAGAGCGCTGGCACGGCGGACCGCTGAAGACGGGAAAGCTCTACACGTTCCTCCTGGACGAGAACGGGGCGCGGCGCGTGTGCAACAGCTCGCGGGGCCCGTACTCGCGGCCCGCTCTGCGCAACGGCCGGTGGGTGCCGGAGCCTCTGAACCCGCCGCCGACGGGGCGCGAGACGGAGGTGCAGCTGCGCCGGCTGATCAGCCGACAGATGTGCGGCCGCCTGCAGCACGGCGGGCTGCTGCGGCGCATCTCCTGGGTGGAGGCGTGCGAGCCGCCGCCGGCCCGCCTGCCAGCCGTCGCGCTGTACGAGTATACTCGTATGTCGGTCGAGCCGCGCCAACGGGGCAACAGTGTCCAAGTGCAGCCGGTCAATGTGGCGGACAAACGGGAGGGCGACTTCGGCTCAGAGCTGGAGTCGGACGCGGACTCTGAGCCGGACATGGATGAGTCGTTGAAGCGGGCCTGGAGCGGACAAAACGGGACGGGGGCAGAGGGGTCAGACGTGAAGCGCAAGAGGAGCTGGAACCCCAGCACGTGAGATGAGACGGCACGTGACGGACGTTGTTTGAGTGTACTTGTGTGTGCTGCCCAGTGGTCATCCACTCGTGATGAATAATGTACAAACTAGATTAATATTTCACTACTGGTAAAGGTTATTTTAGGTAAAGATATGAAACTGCCGTTACATCTTGTTTTGAAAATAAAACAAACCCCGTATTGCTGCGTTTTTTCCTCTCTTTTTTTTTTGACTGATGTTGATGTGAAGGTTTATGCTGCCAAATAAACGAGCCGCTGGTGGGTGATCACCCGAATTTTTCTATTATCCAGCCCGGATCTATTCTCATATTACAGTTCCGGTCGCACTTAATTAATCGGCGAAGCCACTGGCCATTGGCCATTGGCTTCGCCGAAGCCCACGCAAAGCCCACGGCGCCTGCGGTTGGTGGCAGCAGGAGCCAGTTCAGGTCAGTACAGGCCATGTCCACTTCCAGCTTGAATGGGCCCGCTATATTTTTGCCGGCATATAATTTGTCCAATGTTCGTGACTGTCCCGCTGACCCCTGCGGACGGCCGCCGCGGATAAGCGAGCTTGACCCGCTGACTGTCTACCTCCCTGCATCTGTGCACAGCGTACGAATGTGTCATCGCCATTGGTGAATCGAGGGTTTGAGCGTAACGAGCAGATACATATTACATAGGCGCCCATGATTATTTTTGTATGCAAATCCATTTATCGACCACGATAAATAAAGGGGGGCGAGAGTTGCTACTGATCAATAAGGAGAGATGTTCTAAATATGAAAAGCACGTTTAAACGTGTGAGGAAAAAGTGAAAGCGAGTCTTGGTACAAAAGCCTTCAAAATCAACCCTGAAATTGCAAAATAGAATGAAAAATTTAAATTGGTGACGCTGTTTTGTTTTTAATTTTGAAAGCTGGGATTTGTCATAATTTTAGGAAAGTTCCTCCTTTTAGTGCAAAAGCAATAAAAATCTTCCCGCCGCATTCTTTTTTATTTGACCACTATGCTCAACAACGGATTTTAGGCAAATGCAGTTTTAACTTTTATCTTTGAGTTTGGCATCTTTTGCTTTATGAATACTTATATTTTGAGAGAATAAATTAAAAAACTAGTATTTTATAGGTGTGTTTTTGTAAATTCTCTTCTATTTTCAAATTGTGCTTCAAAGCATTCTGGGTAATGCTGAGCGTCAACATTTGTTTGATTGCCGCCGTGAATGTAGGATGTGAGTGATGTGCTAATATTTAGATATGTCTGCACCTATTTTAAAATGGAAGAGGATTGGGAATGCAAGTGGACCATGTCCCAGACCAAGACATGGGCACAGAGCAGTTGCCATCAAGGACCTGATGGTTGTTTTTGGTGGTGGAAACGAAGGCATCGTTGATGAACTCCATGTTTACAACACGGGTACGTTTGTCTTTCTTTGTTATTGTGAATGTTTTGCCATTTTCAGTGAATTACTTTCATTTATGTAACTACTCGCATATTTCATATTTGATATTGTGTTCTTCCATATGTTTGAAATTGGTTACTGAACAAAAGTTTTGGAACACTGGTAAGTAGGGCAAGGTCATGCTCAGCATATGTGTATATCTGTTTATATCCTATGTTCCTATATTGTTTTGCTGTGCTACTATTTCTGGAAGTTGTTAAGCCTGAATAATATTTTCCAAGTGCCTATGTGAATCATTAAGAAACATATGCTTACGTTAAACAGACCTACAAACTCGTAACTGGACTGTGTTGGTATTGTTCTTTGTTATTTGAGCAAAAGATGTGAGACATTGGGCTTTCTTGTTCCTTTTTGACAATGTTGTGATATGGAATGACTGTTTGATAATTTGGGCCTCATGAAGTTAGAAATTAAGTGTGTTTTTTCACCAAATGTATGACCTGTTAGTCCTCCCCGTGGCCTAGTGGATAAGGCGTCCGTCTCCTAACTCGGTGGCAGCGAGTTCGCGGCTGGGAAGCTCCACGCCGTTTGACCCGCGTTCCTACATTAAGCCAGCTGGCAACTGGCGAGACAGGGCCACGCTAGACCCGGGAGGACCGTGCCGCCATCTACCTGCGGCACGTTAAACTTTCGATCCAAATTATCACCGGTGAACCGGGCGCGGGCAAGGCGGGGTGGTGGGTCCGTGGTGTCATTCGCAACAAGCACTGCTTAGCGGGGCACCCGGGCCCATAGCCACCCATTCATCGATTCGGACAAAATTTCTAAAAAAAAAGCCTTGTGTTGTTTTGTTCCCTATGGCATATTTTGTTAACCATTTGGTGAAAATGACCAGGCCATGTCAGGTCAAGGAGCTATGATTTTATGAAAAAAGGGGCCAGAAATCAGGGCTGGAAAGAAATATTAATTAGTAGGTAATCATGATTCATGGGACATGGGGTGAAAGATTTGGGAACAGAGCACCTTTTACCCAGAAGTGATTATCATGCTCTATTTAAAGCAATTTATAAGTTAAATTGATATTAAGATCAAAGGCTGGTGTTTGATTTATCACTACAATGGCTTGTGGTGACCTCAGGTGATTTATTGTGTATTTGTCAAGTTAAAGTAATATATGTGCATAATGAATTCAATTTTGCTGCCTAAATTAATTTGGACTATACCTACACCTTTAAATCCACTTGTCCTAATCAGCCCTGAACCTTCTGCTTTTGCAAACAGCCTTGAGCTCTCCAGATTCAACAATAAGCTGCAACAGCAAACACACTGCAAGCATGGTTTTGTCACCTGTCATGGGTTGCCTTCCCAATACCATTGACTTAGTGAACCTGCACAGTTGATTGATTGAGAAACCATTTGATTGTGCACCCAAATTAATGAAGGAACATGTAGTGACCGTAGCCTATGGGTACCGTCGTACTGAGTACCGAGTACTCGTTTCTCTATTGTGTCGTTTCTCGTCCGCCACTATCGGAAATAAACAGTCTCCATCTTGGACAAATCGTGGCGTGTCGTGGCCCGGACCGTTCGACGGAATTACACACCCAGGACACTATATTGTGGCGACGAGTGGATACTTTTCGAACTTTTCACGTAATGTCGAGCGCGTGTGTTATATTGTCGTCAGTTTTCTTGTATTCGGCGACGCAATGAGCGCCTTCGACGGCGGAGTGCCACTCCCCGCGCCGTTCCTGCCGCACCCTGGTGCGCCGCAAACGCCGTGGGCGACGTGGGAGCGGCGGTTCGGGAACTACTTAATTGCTCGCAGTGGCGACACCCCTCTACCAGCGGCCCAGAGACGTGCACTGCTACTCTGTGCAATCGGAGATGAGGCATATCGCGTTTATGAAAACTTGCCGACGCTGGTGAAGGACGAGAACGAGGACGACTATGACGTCACCATTCGCCAACTACGCAACCACTACGAACCCAAGACCAACGTCATCGTAGAACGGTTCCAGTTTCGGCAGAGAGGCCAGCAGTCACATGAGTCTACGGCAGACTACGCTGCAGTTCTGCATGGACTTGCCAAGAAGTGCAACTTCGGAGCGATGGAGGACGAGCTGATCAGGGACCAAATTGTGGAGAAGACCCCTCACAATGCTCTGCGTCAGCGCCTTCTGCAGGAGCATGACCTAACACTGCCGAAGCTGCTCGGCATGGCAGAGGCTCATGAGCAGGCTCTGCAGCAGGCCGCTACTATTCAGCATGGTGTTGTCGCCGCTCCACCTGTTCCCGCTGTCGCAAAGGTGGAGACACGTAAAGGACATCAGCAACCTGCCCAGACCGTCAGCACCCCGTGCACCAACTGTGGACGTCACGATCACCCTGTCCGTGATCCCAGCTGCCCAGCCAGGCACATCGTCTGCCACATCTGCAACCGCCAGGGACACTTCGCTGCCTGGTGTCGCAGTCGCGACAACCCAGAACCCAGGGGTGGAGGTTCAAAACCCAAGAAACCAGGTCCTCGTGGCGGCAGATCTGGGTCCAGCCGTTCCAGACCACAAGCTGTCAGAGAACTGCACGTTCTGGCTTGTGAACAGGGCAAGTCAACGAAGCTGTCGTGTCCAGTGACCATCACAGCCGGTGACATCACACGTGAGGGTGTGCATCTTCAAGTGGATACAGGTGCCACCTGTTCGCTTCTAAGCCTGCAGCGTGCCAAGCAGCTGTTCAAGGGTGTCAGCTACGAGCCTACTTCTGCTAACCTGTACGGTTTCGGCCACAACCCCATTCAAGTTCATGGCACCCTCCCTGCCATCATCAGCTACAACGAGCGCAAGGTCGACGCATCATTCTACCTGGTGGACACGCCCCGCCTGGAGGCCATCATGGGTATGGATGTGCTGAGTGCCCTGGGATTAACTCTGCACCCAGCTTCGCACACCATCTTCGATCTGGATGAGCAGACCTCTGCGTCAGAGGAGCAACTTCATCTCCCAGCTATCGACGGATACGCTCACAGGATCCAGCTGAAGCCTGACGCTGTGCCTAAAGCGTTCAAGCTTCGTCGTCTGCCTCTCTCAGTCCGGGAGGAGGTGTCAGCCGAACTCAATCGACTTCTCCGAGCTGACGTCATCGAACGAGCAGACGCGTCTCAGTGGGTCAGCCCACTGGCTGTCACTCGCAAGAAGGATGGCAAACTCCGCATCTGCACTGATCTTCGATGGCCAAACTCTCAGATCATCGCAGAGGTACATCCACTTCCCACCATAGATGACCTGGAGCGGAACCTACGAGGCACCGTCTACAGCAGGATAGACCTGAAGTCCGCGTACTTCCAACTCTGCCTGCATGAAGATTCCCGAGACATCACTGCATTCCTCACCATGGACGGCCTCTTCCGCTGGAAACGAGTTCCCATGGGTCTCGTCAGTTCTGGCTCTGCGTTCCAGAAGCTCCTGGACCAAGTCCTGGACGGGATCGCAGGATGTGGTCACTACCTCGACGACATCTTGGTGTCCGGGCGCACTCAGTCCGAGCACGATGCCCGCCTGCATGCCGTCCTGGCCCGGCTTCGCGCAGCTCGCATCACAGTGAACATGCAGAAGTCCGTCTTCTCCCAGCCTGAGGTCGACTTCTGTGGTCACCGCCTGACGAAGCACGGAGTCGCACCTCTGCAGTCAGCAATCAGGGCTGTGGTGGGTGCACCACACCCCACCGACCTCAAGGAGCTACGGAGCTTCATCGGCACCACCGCCTGGTTCAGCAGGTTCATCCCCGCCTACTCCACGGTGGTCCAGCCGCTGACTGTGATGTTGAAGAAGGACGTCCCCTTCGAGTGGGGCCCAGCCGCGGAACACGCCTTCAACAGCGTCAAGAGCCTGATCTCCTCCAGTCCGGTGATGATGCCGTTCTCGCCGGCACTGGACACCATCGTCACCACGGACGCCAGTGACCGTGGTGCAGGCGCTGTCCTGACTCAGATCCAGGCGGACGGACAGGAGCGCCCAGTGGCCTACTGGTCACGTTCCTTCACAGATGCTGAAGCGAAGTACTCAGTCTCCGAGAAAGAAGCGCTGAGTGCTGTGAATGCCATCGAGCACTGGCGGATCTACCTCTGGGGCCGCCACTTCACCCTACGAACCGACCACTCCGCGCTGACAACGCTGCTGTCGCCTCAGTCAGCCAACCGCGCAGGAGCTCGGATCGCCAGATGGCAGTCACGACTGATGTCGTACTCTTATACCGTCCAGTACAAGCCTGGCCACAGTATCCCGGTCGCGGACACTCTCTCGCGACTACCGCTCCCAGACACCACTGCCGCTGAGACTGACAGTGACGATGTCGTCGCACTCGTCACTGATGCCGCTGCCGACGTCCTCACGGAGGAGGACATCCGAGCCGCTTCAGCCGCCGACCCGGTGATGGAGAAGCTGCGTTCTACAATCCGCTTCGGCTGGCCCGACACGGCTCGCAAGTGCGCGCCGGACCTTCGCGATTACTTCGCCGTGCGCCACGAACTCCAGTGCAGAGAAGATGGCATCGTCATGCGCGGACCTGAACGGGTCGTCGTCCCCGAGACGCTGCGCAGCAGGTACCTGGAGCTGGCACACGCCGGTCACCAAGGCGTTGTCCGGTCGAAACAACTCCTGAGAGACCTGGCGTGGTGGCCCGGCATGGCGACTGCTGCTGCCGCTCTCGTGAAGAACTGCCACGTGTGCTGTTCAAAGGACTCGGTGCTCGCCCAGCAGGCGCGACCAGCACCACTACAGCCCGTCCAGCTGCCTGACCGACCATGGTCCAAGCTCGGTATTGACATCGTGGGACCCATCTCCGCAGCGCCTCCTGCCGCACGGTTCGCGATCGTCGTTACCGATTACTACAGCAAGTGGCCAGAGATAGCTCTGACATCCACAGTCGAAACTGATGACATCATCAGGATGCTCAGCGCTCTCTGGGCTCGAGAAGGTTTCTGCGATGAAATCATCAGTGACAACGGTCCACAGTTCTCAAGTGAGAAGTTCCGCACGTACCTGCAGCGTCGCGGCATCACGCACCACCGGTCATCACTCTACTGGCCGCGTGGCAACGCTGCAGTCGAGCGGCTAAATCGAGAAGTCAAGAGCTGGCTGCAGGAAGCCGCCCAGTTGAGGCTCAGGACAGCAGACTCCTTCTCCAACCACGTCACACAGCGACTCGCGCTGTATCGGACGACCCCCCACTGTAGCACCGGTGAGGCGCCGTCAGTACTGCTGCATGGACGCCGGATGCGTCTGAATCTACCAGTCGTAGAGGAAGCAGCACATGACAAGAGGATTTCCGACCGTGTCGCCAAACAACAGCGCCGAAACAAACGGAACTACGCCGCACGTAAAGGTGTGAAGCGGCCTGGTCTGCGGCCGGGGGACCTGGTCCGTGTGAAGAAGCCAGGACACGTCCCGAAGGATCAAAGTCGATTCTCGGCTCCAGTCCCAGTCACCCAGCAGCTCGGCCCAGCAACCTACCTGCTGGCTGACGGCACCAGAAGGAACGCGGCTCACCTGGCTAGCGTGCCTAGTGGCAGCCAGGATGGAACCGGACCTGCCACACCGCCGTCAGGCACAGCCGGACCCGTCACTCCGCTGCTGTCTCAGCCGCCGACTCAGCGGTCACCGACTCTACTCCGGGACCAGCCGCCAGCGCCACCGCCGGAGACAGCACCGCCATCTACAGGACGAACAACGCCCCCGCGATCACAGCCAGCCACCGCCGGCGCTGATAGCGCGGACCGTGCCGTGCCTGACTCTGATCTGGCTGAACACGAGCTGCCGAGATCGTCGTTCGGTCGCCGTCGGTTCGTGCCTGTGAGGCTGCGCTGATTGTATTTTCAGAACCACAGTGTCTGATTGTTTCGTTTCAGTTATTGGCTCTAACCGCGTTTCTGTATTAGTTTAACAGCTTCGAGTATAAGCTGTGTCGTGTCTACTTGGCGTATCGTCCGGTGTCAATTATGTTCAACTTTATTGAGGTGGCGGATGTAGTGACCGTAGCCTATGGGTACCGTCGTACTGAGTACCGAGTACTCGTTTCTCTATTGTGTCGTTTCTCGTCCGCCACTATCGGAAATAAACAGTCTCCATCTTGGACAAATCGTGGCGTGTCGTGGCCCGGACCGTTCGACGGAATTACACACCCAGGACACTATAGAACACATAAAAAAGGTGAATGTTACTGCTGCCAAACAACTGCAAACATTGGCTCCAGGGTTGTAATATAATTATTCTGCAATCCATAATTTGATCTTTGATGGGCCATAACTAGGTTAAATATTGACCCAGGATAAAAGATGTGTCCCTTTTGGTACCTTCTGAGAAAAACAATATTTTTTAATAATAGCCATTAGCCACATTACTGCTTTAAAATAACAGCTTGGAAACAATAAAGAAATGTTACAAACTTGGAAAAGGCATTTTTACTGAGCATGGCTTTCTTAGCTCTTGCTGCATTTTTGTGAAGGCAATGCTGAAAATCTCCTGTAGGTTTATAACTTTTCATATTGCTTTCCATTTTTAACCATTCTCAAACCTTTTCTGAGTACCTTTGCACTTCAAAATGTATCATGCTGACTGAGCATACTTTGTTGCAGCCACAAACCAATGGTTTGTTCCGCCTGTCAAGGGAGACATCCCTCCCGGATGTGCTGCCTATGGCTTTGTGGTCGACGGCACTCGCATCCTTGTCTTTGGTGGCATGGTTGAGTATGGAAAGTACTCAAATGAAATCTATGAACTCCAGGTGAGTGACTGTTTGCTTTGTTATGCCCCTTTATTGTCACAATATTTGTTGTGTTCTTGTAGTTGAAATTAAGGACTAGTAAATTGGATGCATCAAAACTCATTCACAGATTCTGGCCAGTTGTCATTATAAATATGTACCCATTACCTGACACTACTGGCTCCCCTCTTCACTAGGCGAGTCGATGGGAATGGAAGCGGATCCGCGCCCGCCCGCCGCGCAACGGTCCGCCGCCGTGCCCCCGGCTGGGACACAGTTTCACACTGATCGGCAACAAGGCTTACCTGTTCGGTGGCCTGGCCAACGAGAGCGACGACCCCAAGAACAACATCCCGCGGTGAGTCGCGCAAACAGACTGGACTGGACAGACTGGTGTGGCGATCGTGGGGAGTCGTGGGAAGCGGAAAAAGGTTAAAACAACTCATGGCTTTGAGTAGAGTTGATGAGCTTTCCTGCGTTTTTTTTTTATTACCGTCGTTCCCAGCTCCTTTCCTGCCAAACTCTCAGTCCCCACACTTCCTACCCCCTGCCGCCCCACCCGTGCGTCACACGCTCCGTTTCCGTCTCCGGCAGCTACCTGAACGACCTGTACACACTGGAGCTGCGTCCGGGCGGCAACGCGCTCGGCTGGGACATCCCGCAGACCTACGGCCAGCCGCCGCCGCCGCGCGAGTCGCACACCGGCATCGCCTACACGAACGCGCAGCGAGACTCCTCGCAGCTCATCATCTACGGAGGTCAGAGCGCGGGCTCGGACGCTGGGTCATTGGTCGCCAGTTTTTTTCGACGTCTTTTAGTTCTCCTTTGTTTCGTTCGTCTTATTTTTGTTTGTATATTTTTGTCATTATTAAATATTCATTTTTGTTCATACTTTTGTGGTGTACTTTGATATAAACCATAGCGAACGTAAATAATTATCAAATAAGGTAGGTAGCAAATGGGCTATTCCCAGTTTACAGTAACAGCCTGTCTGATGGTTGAAAATGCCTGCCCCATGACCTTGACGGCCCCCTCGCCAGGTATGAGCGGCTGCCGCCTGGGCGACCTGTGGATGCTGGACGTGGACTCGATGATGTGGACGCGGCCGCAGGTAGGCGGCACGCCGCCGCTGCCGCGCTCACTTCACACCACGCAGCTGATCGGACAGCGCATGTTCGTGTTTGGCGGCTGGGTGCCGCTCGTTATCGATACGGACGTCAAGGTGGCCACACACGAGAAGGAGTGGAAGTGCACAAACACGCTGGCATCGCTCAACCTCGGTAAGACGCGGCGGTGGGGACTGGTGGGGCAGCGGGTGTCGCGCGGGTGGTGCGAGTAGCGAGATGGGACTTGGCTAGATGTTGATGTTTGAGATAGGACGTGGTTTTACGGGCCGTTTACGGTGACAGCATGGATTAGGAATACTTCATCCATGGTGACAGCGTCGACTGTCATGACTCTGGCTGACGGTGCCGGTGTCTCGGCTCTCCCCAGAGTCGATGGAGTGGGAGCCGCTGGCTATGGAGGCGTTCGAGGACGCCATTCCGCGCGCGCGCGCCGGCCACTGCGCCGTCACCATACACTCGCGGATGTACATCTGGTCCGGACGCGACGGATACAGAAAGGCCTGGAACAATCAGGTAAGGGGCTGGGAACAATCAAGTGAGTGGCGAGTACGACAAGGCGGGAAACAGTGAAGTAAACGGAGGATCTCAATCTCAAGGATATCGATCTCATATCGATCTCAAGGATATCGTGGAATAGATATTTAGTGTCATGGGCCGCCAAGTACGAGAGAAGCCAAAGCTTATAACACATTACACAATACAGTGGAACTTGGTTCGTAAAGCCGTGTGTGTATTGAATACCATCCCTGTTCCTATCTCAGGCGTGCTGTAAGGCCCTTTGGTACCTGGAGACGGGCCGCGTATATACTGAGTACCATCCCTGTCCTTCACTCAGGTGTGCTGTAAGGACCTGTGTGTAGTATGTGTGTACTGAGTGCCCTCCCTATCTCTATCTCAGGTGTGCTGTAAGGACCTGTGGTACTTGGAGACGGAGAAGCCGCCGTCGCCGGGCCGCGTGCAGCTGGTGCGCGCCTCCACACTGTCGCTGGAGGTGTGTTGGAGCCAGCTGCCCACCGCCGACTGCTACCTTCTCCAGGTGAGGCGCGCCGCAGACACAGCACTGGAGCGGTGACAATGCGGAGGTTTGTGATAAGCTGTCATGTGGAGCAGGAAAGCTGTACCTTATGTTCTACATTTTTCCCTTTTACATAACCGATATTACTTTTCAGCAAACGCCGTTATATTTTTTTTTTTTTTTACACGCTGCGCTACGTCCTCGTTATATATAATCTATAACGATTTTTGTCTCCACTCTGCGCACAGATTCAGAAGTACGAGATGCCGCCGCAGCCGGCCGGCCAGCCCAGTCCGGGCGCCGCCGCCCAGCCGGCCGGGGCGGGGGCGGGGGCGGCTCCCAGCCCGCCCACGCCGAGCGCGGCGCCCGTCCGCCCGTCCATCACGGCCACAGCGGGCATCCCGAGTCCGTACAGCCCGGCTAAACGTGAGTGGTGCACTACCGGACGACAGCATGGTAGCTACTTGATTATACTGGGGTAGTACTAATTATGCTCTCGCGACCTAGTTGTCAGGAAATGATCTGGATGTTCTGTCGATAATTGGTAGGTTGATCAAATAATTCAGTTAAATGCAGTGAATTATTAGCGCCTCATCCAATTGCAGGCTCTTAGGCTTTTGCGATAAATTGTAGCATTGGTTACCGCGTGTTTTGTCGCCTATTTGTTTCTCCGTCTTCACATACACTATCTCATGGTCCCGTGTGCCGGCAGTGGGGACCGGACTGCGGAAGGTGCTCACCAAACCGGAGCCCAAGTCGCCCGTCAGCAGCCAGCCCATGTCCGGTATCGCGGCGCTGGCGGCGGCGGCGGCACAGACGCAGCGCGCGCCGCCGGCGCAGCAGACCACAGCCGACAGTCCTGGAGTGAAGGTGGGTGGCTCCTATAACGGACATCTAAACCTTGAACGTCATTACAAACATATAAGTTGTGAGCGTACCATATCACCGATATTTACCGATGCTTTGCGGACAGGCCGGCTGTCGCTGACCCCCTGTGAGCTCTGTTGACATCCGTGGCGTGACGTGTGCCCTTCTCACTCCGGCAGGGAGTGCGTCTGTCCACGGCGGCGGTGGCGGGCGGCGGGAACGCCATCAGCTCGGTGCTGAAGTCGCCCGGCCAGCCGAAACAGATAATCCTGCAGAAGCCGGGCGCCGGTGGCCAGCCACAGATTGTGACCCTGGTGAAGACCAGTCAGGGGATGCAGGTGGCCACGGTACGTGGAGAGGGGACGGGACGGGACCAACTGGGGTGGATTGAAGAGAGTGGCGAGTGAAATGGACGGGAAATTGGTAGGTGGGGGTCTGCAGCAGATGTCAAATGCAATTAGCTCAATCTGTGCTGAAATGAGTATCTTTCGAAGTCTTCGTTTTCTAAGTCCATACTGACTCCCCCCTCCCGCCTTCGACCCTCAGGTGCCCAAGGTGAACCTGCTGCAGGGCAAACCGTCCGCTCAGATGACCGCCGTGTCGGCCGGCAAGTCGCTGCCGCAGGGCGCCACCATTGTCAAACTGGTGGCCACACAGGCCGGTGAGTGGTCGCGACTCCGAACTGGCGCTGTTTGCAGAGATAGGGCTTTGTTGGGTAACAGGGCCTTCTGCTTAAGATTGTTGCAGAGTTATAGCTTCTCGATGGGTAAAATAGGGAATTGTTTCATTCGCATTGCTTTGGTTGTTAGTCCTCATCACGTTTTTATGCTTCATCTGTTCTAAGGGATCGTTTTAAAAGCAGCGACCTGATCAAGCGTTGAAGCCCTTCAAGTCTATAAGAAAGAATGTGTCTTTAAAATTCGTGTCTCACCTCACCAGTGACTCCGACTGACCGCGTACCGTGTCCGCCGCCAGCAGGCGCCAACCGCTCGATCGGATCGAACGTCATCACCATCGCCAAGCCGCAGACGGTGTCGACGCCGGCCGGCGGCAAGCAGACGATCGTCATCACGCGCCCGCCGCGCGCGGCCACCCAGCAGGTCACCATGGTGTCCTCCGCAGCGGCTCCGGCCGCCGGCGCGGCGGTCGTCCCGTCCGCGGCTGCCGGCAGCCCGGCGGCACCGCCACAGACGGCCGGCCAGGCGGGGGTCAAGATGATCGTGGTGTCGTCTCCGTCTGGCACCAACACCACGCCGGCCATCTCTCGTCCGATCACCATCTCCGTGCCGGGCCAGTCGGGCCAGGCCACCAAGACGGTCACCATCGCGGCCAAGTCAAATACGCTGGTGGGTCTGCCGGCGCAGGGTCTGCTGCCGGCCGGGCCGCGGCCTGTCGCCGTACAGGTATCCACGGCCGCCGGGCAGAAGACGGTGACGCTGATGGCGGGCTCGGCGGCGGCAACAGCGGCGGGCGGAGGCTCCCCGGCGCAGCAGAAGGTGGTGCTGCTCAACCAGCCGGCCACCACGGACGCGGCGCTGGCGGCGCTGGCCGCGGAGGCCGGTCTGGGCGTGCTGCCGGAGTCAGGCGGTGGAGAGCCGGCCGAGCAGGCCGCGCCGGAGGCGGCGCCGGCCCAGCAGCCGGCGGCCGTGCCGCAGGTAGACGGGGCAGACGACAGCGAGGACGAAACGCCGCCGCCGCCGCAGTCGGACGAGGGCGCGCCGGCAGCGCCGGCCGCCGCTCCGGCCGCCGAGGGGCCGGCTGAGGAGGCGCCGCCGCCGCCGGCAGACGAGGAGCCGCTGGTGGGCCAGCCTGTGGACCCGGAGACGGAAAACCCAGGGCCGGCCGGACGCGCCGCCGCCGCCGCCGCTGAGGCAGCTGAGAAGGAAGCTAAGACGGACGCCGAGGCAGCTGGAGATGCAGCCGCGACTGAAACCCCCGCAGAGGGCAGCTCTACTGAACAGAAACCCGCAGAAGACTCTGCCCCGGAGGAAAAGCCCATGGAGCAGGACAGTGCTGCGGATGATAAGCCTGCTGCGGAGAGTGCTCCGTCGGAGACTGCTCCGGCGGAGAGCCCTGCTGCGGAGAGTGCCGCTACGGAGCCGGCGGCTGCTGAGGGTGCCGCTGCGCAGGAGTCGGCCCCTGTCCAGCCGGCCCCAGCAGCTACTGACGGCACGAAGCCGGCACCGAGCGACGACACTCCGGCCGAGAGCGCTCCACCGGCCGGTGAGCCGATGGATACCGCCCCGGAGGGCGGCACCACCACCGCGGCTCCGCCGGCTCAGCCCAAGGAGGAGCCGTCGGACGCCGACGCAGAGACGGCCGCCGACCCGCTGGCCACGCTGGCGTCGGCGGCCATCTCGACGGCGGCGGCGGCGGCGGCCGTCAAGTCTGAGCCGCGCGCCGAGAACGGCGTCACCAAGAGCGGCGCCGACTCTGAGGAGAAGCGCCGCGACGCGCTGTGGTTCGACGTCGGTATCATCAAGGGCACCTCGTGCACGGTCGAGTCGTTCTACCTGCCTGTCGACGAGAACGGCGACGTCCTCTCCGAGAGCGACCAGAACATGATGCGCAAGGTGGACCTGCAGCCCGGGCTGGCCTACAAGTTCCGCGTGGCGGGCATCAACGCCTGCGGCCGCGGCCCGTGGAGCGAGGTGTCGGCCTTCAAGACGTGTCTGCCGGGCTACCCGGGCGCACCGTCGGCCATCAAGATCTCCAAGTCGGCGGACGGAGCGAATTTATCGTGGGAGCCGCCTCAGAACCCGGCCGGGGAGATCACAGAGTACTCTGTGTACCTGGCTGTGCGCAGCGCCACCACCCAGGCACAGGTGAGCGGGTGGGAGGGCGCGGCTGGCAGGGGCGGGCCATTATCGAGGAGGTCGGGAATGTGACCAATACTAAGATGATAACTTTTAGTATATGTAGTTTTCATTCTTGTTCGTGTGGTGGCTGTTTTTACTGGAATAGCCGTTTCACATACCGTGGTTCCGGCTGGAAAAGTTTTTAATCGATAAAGTATTACAGCCTAGCTGCACTATCGGGCGTTCCGACCCTCTGCACCTGCTGAATCCCTCTCTAAAGCCCTTTCCCTCTGACCTCTCTCCCTCAGGGCGACACAAAGACGGTGGCCAGCTCTCCGTCTCAGCTGGCGTTTGTGCGCGTCTACTGCGGCCCCATCAACCAGTGCACGGTGACGCACATATCGCTGGCCGCCGCGCACCTCGACACCACCTCCAAACCGGCCATCATATTCCGGATCGCAGCCAGAAACGAGAAGGGCTACGGCCCGGCCACACAAGTCAGGTGGCTCCAAGGTGAGTACTGAGCACGGCATAGTTCGGGACAAGGTGCGAGAGCACGGTGTTTGGGAAGTGAACAAAACTCGTGCGTGGATTTTCACTTTGTAGGGGCGATTCGTACCACTTATTACAGGTGGTAAGTCTCAACTGCCAGTTATGCTTGGATGTGCCCGTCAGTCCATATTTGTGTGTGTAGGAGGGGAGGGAGTTCTAGAGTAACTCACACCCGCCGGTCCCGTGCTGACGCGCCTCTCCGCCCGCAGACGCACACGCCGGAGGAGTGAAGGCCGTGAAGCGGGTGATGGACCCGCGCACGCCCGGCCCCGCCGGCATCAAGCGGCCGCGCACGGACAGCGGTCAGTAGGCCGGCGCGGCCGCCGGCGCCATCTCACCCTCAGTACAACACGCCTCTCATTGGGCGCGCGCGACGCCACTCGCCTCATCGTGCCGCGCGCCGTGCGGCGGATAGTTTTAGGCGCGGGCGGCACGCCGCGGCGGTACCGTTCCGCCCAGCGACTGTACATAGATGGCCGGACCGCTGCCAGCGCGAAACGAAATGAAGTGACTTATGACGTGAGTGACGAAACGAGTGAATGGTTGGGAGAATGATGTTCATTGAGTGAGTGAGTGAGTGAGTGAGTCAGCATCGGAGCCATTATGCCTAGTTAGGACGTCTCGCCTGTAGTCTATAGCGCGGCGCCCACCCGGTCTGACCGGGCGGGCGGAGCGGTACGCCAACTGGAGTCCGCTCGGCCGGGCGGAGCGGGGCGCCGAGCCTGACCGGGGCCCGCTCGGGCGGCTCGCCGCCGGCCAATCGGTTCACACTTCCATTGTGCTTAGGATAAGGACCGCTCCGTAGCGGGCTAATTGTACACTATGCTAAGAATCGGGCGCTTTCCGTCGCCACGTTTGAAATAAACTGTCGCAACATACATCTTGACTTGTCCAGTGTTCTGGCGGCCGATGAAAATATCGGTAAATTTGTATATAATCTACATAGCTTTGCAGCAGTGAGGAGCACATATATTGCTTAGAGCAGAATCGATCTCGATGATATTGTATTCAGCCTTCAACACAACGTGAGTTGAGATGCACAGTTTGATACAAATTCGCTGCCAGTTTTCGGGCTCGGGCCTGGCCTACTAGCCCGGGTGTTCATGCTGAGTCCGTGCATGACTCAGACGCTGAGCAGACGCTGACTTATTACGACACCTCACACCTGTGCCGGGGACAGCGATGGTCGGGACAGTTCAGCGATAACTGTCAGTCGGACGCCGCTGCCGGTCCGGCTGACAGAGTCAGGTCCTCCATCCCTTGCCGTCACATGAATACGCTGCGGGTGTCAGGTCGAAAGAGCTCCGTCGCCGTCCCATCTGTTCACAGGAACACACTGCGAGCGTCCGGGGCCAGACACGACTCCTCCTTCTCGTAGGCGCAGCCGATGCAGCTGGGAAACGGGAGGCGATCAGCCCTTCTGACGGATAGGACGTGGCAGTAGACATTATTTGGCGAGGGCGATGTGGCACGCTTAATGCGTTATTAGACACTTTCACAGGGGTCTTTATCTCTTCATAGACGTCTTGGCAATCTGTTTTACAGCCCACGGAGCTCTGACCGAATCAAATCAAACTTTGACCGTTTACCTTTCCTGTCTCTCCCCTTCCATCACCTAACTCGCCTCCCGGCCGCGCGCGGGGCGCAGGTACTCACGAACTTCCACCATCGATGGACTTATCTCTCTCTATATTTGACCGAGCTACTCACAAGAAGTCCACCATGGAGCCGTACATGAGGCCGACCACGTAGTCGGCGGGGTTGGCGCCGGAGCGGACGAACGCCCGAGAGGCCACCGAAGCCACTGAGTCGAGCGGCGGCCGGCCGGCAGAGACGGCGCTCACCGCCTGGGGGAAGAGAGAGATGGGCAGGCGGCCGGCGAGCGGAATGGGCAACAGCTACCTCAGTGAGCTGGGGCAGGTTGTCAGACAAAGTCGAGCTTCAGACTGACCACGTTTGCACAAACCAGGACGGAGAGGTATCATCCAAAAGACTAGCTTGAGCTTGATATCACGGCTAGATATTTGATAGATGATTGATCTGCATGTTCATCCCAGTTAGGTATAATTTAACATTCGAGCGTGGAGAGAGTGCGACGCCAAGCTTGTCTCTTAGCTCAGACGGTTCCTGCATATATCTACTTCTGCGACGCACTGATCCCTCTACGAAATGTCTGAAAAAGTATGAACTCAACAACCACCAGCCGCTCTCCCCGATCTCCGCCGGCACCGAGCGCCTCCACCGTTCCCTCTCCACGCCACCTACCAGGACCAGCAGCGAGCAGCAGCAGAGGAGCGCGGCCGTCCTCGACATGGTGCGTGCTGTCGGCGGAGTGTGGCGCGTGCTGTCGGCGGAGTGTGGCGGCCCCCTCCCGGTCGGTACCGGACAGGCCTCGGACGCCGGTCATTACAGCGGCACACAGCTGGCCGGGGCGGACCAGACGACCCATTACCGGCCGCTCAAACGGGCTGGTAATGGCCAGCAGAGACGGCGCAGCTGGCTGTCCGACCGGCAGGCGGGCTCATTAACCCTCGCCCGCACATGGGGGGGGGGGGGTGGTTGCCACCCCCCCCCCAGGTAGTCTTTTTGCTCTGCACTCAACATTTTTAACCCTCGCCGGCCGAGGGGGGGGGCGGGTGCCGCCCCCCCCCCATAGGGTTTTTTCGCGATAGCTCCGAACACGCTGGCGATAGAGAGCTGAAACTTGGCATACCTGACCTTTGATCCAAGCCGCATCTTTTGACACCAACCGCATTTTTGGGTCAGGTCAGGTCACTGACCTATGACGTCATAAGTGAACCTCTGCACAGTCTTCAGATGTCGCAACTTCGCAACGCCCTCACTGCCAGAGGAGATGTCACAGGGAAATGAAACTTGCAGGATCTAGTGTCCATTATGAGTCCCACAACTTGTATATCTCGGATTTTTCCTAAAGGTCATATGAGGTCAGGTCATTTTCGTGACCTCACCATTATAAGTCAATGGGGAAAAATGAAAACTGCTATTCTGGCGCCGGGAACGATCTCCAACTATCTCAAGCACACAGAATCGTGATTTGATGCACTCCTTGCAAGGTTAGATGCGTCACTTTTGCAATGTTGACCTTGCGTGACGTCATTTATGACGTCATCAAGGTCAAATTAGTTTTTCGTCAATAACTCTTGATCAAATTGAGCTAGCGAGTCGGGAAAGGCACCAATGGACTCAGGAAGGCCTGCCGAATCGAATGATATGCGACATGACCTCTTTCGACCAGCTTCGTGACCTGGGGGTGCTGACCTGACCTTGACCTGAGGTCAACACCCCAAGTTGACCTGACCCGGACAAAAAGTATATCATTCGACGCGCCTGAGCGAGGGGAGCACGATGCTGCCAAAATCGGCGCTCTGCGGCCGTTTTTTGCGAAGTTATTCACCAAAAACTGAACCGTACCCTGGGGCACTTGACCTGACCTCAGAGGTCACCGGTTGACCTAGGACCTTAAAATCGGGTACCAATCTCTGCGTCTCGTAACGGCGCACACGCTCGTTTTTTTCGCGACGCGCTAGCTCCACCAGGGGCGAAACGGCGAGGGGGGGGGTCGTACCCGCCCCCCCCCCCCTCGGCCGGCGCGTATGTAGAAAACCAATAGGTCCGGCGAGGGTTAAAGCTAGAAGGCTGATTTTTCGTATAGCTGCTCCTCTATCCTTTCTTGATGTCCACTGAAAATTTCAAGTTTCTGTGATTTTTGGTTTCGGAGATATGACCTTGTTTTTCAGGTCATGTCATGACCCAAATGGCCAATTCTCAACATCTTGCGTTTGCCATGGGCCTTATGAGCTTTTGACACCCTGATTTCGGCCTTTTTTGCCAGTCTTACCTCCCACCTATCATGGAACATGTTGTTCGACGATGTACAGGGGTCAAGGTCAGGGTCAAGGTCAACCTAGGTCATCTAAGATAATTGCGTTTTAGGCAAGCTGAATTTACTTTTTTTGAAGTTTTTTGACTGCATTTTTGGTAAAAGCTTCTCAGATCATGATTTCATGTAGTATGGACCCAAAAACAATCGGTGCACACATCAGTATACACAGACACACACAGACATACAAACACATATAATTGACCTTGACCTAACTTGACCTGAAATGACCTCAGCAGCAAAATTCTGGTCGGGTAGTGTGACAAAGAGGTTCTAGCTGGCTTGGCACCAGAAAACAGCATCGTCATCGGTATTTGATAAGCAGCACACTTGATATCCAACGGTGACCCAAAACAGCAACATTTTTTAGTTTGACCTGACCTGGAAGGTCAATGACTGACCTGAGAAGGTAAAACTGGGTATCATCGGATTCGTCTCTTCCCAAAGAATCTTTTTGGTCTTTACTGCTAAGCTCTATCTCCAACAGGAACGAAATGGCGCGGGGGGGTGGCAACCACTCCCCCCCCCCCCATGTGCGTTCTAGGATGGGAAAATGGCATGTGCGGGCGAGGGTTAACTCTTACCTTATCAAAGATTATCACAGCAAAGCCGTGAGCTCAGAGCTGTGATTGTGAAAATCACTCACTGCATCTCAACGCCGCAACCGTAACGACGCATAGGTGGCGTCGTGCGGCACAGCATACCACTTCAGGAATATACTACTAGTGCCATCTAGCGCCTGGATGGAAAGCATGAAGTCGGGCGGCACAGCCTACCACTCCAGAAGTTTACTACTAGTGCCATCTAGGAGCTGAGCGAAGAAGCCTCCGCGCGGCGCAGCATTACGTCTGAAGGGGAGATATTGGACCGGACATTGATCAATCTGCAGCGTGCATAGAGGCGCCAATCATTATTCGGTCAGCCATATGTTGTGTGCTCTCGCCCTCAACACCAGTCCTAGCCTAGCACAGTCAGTCATACGTTGTGTGCTCTTGCCCTCAACACCCGTCCAGGCGCAGCACAGCTCGCACTGAGCTGCCGCTCTCCCGCTACCCGGCTCTGTAGTCAGTCCTATCAGCCGGGCCAGGCACAAGCGCCCTCAAGGCTCTGCTGATCTCCAGAACGGAGAGGCCATCACCCCTTTTTACAGGTCACGGGGAGGAATGAAGAGCACGGGGAACGGGCTGCGGCTTCAGCGACAGGTAAAACGGGCTGGAGACGATCCGACGCAAGAGCGGACGGCGACTTTCATTCACCAGTCCAGCACTCGCCAGTGCCTGTTTGGTATTTTGATTGAAAACAACCGGTTAACCCGAAACGGCCTCTTTATTTAAACATCACCAAATGCACGCATAAATGCCAAGAATAGCTCTATTTTTACAACTACATTTTGATCACCAAGCTGGACAAGTGTCTTTTGCAAAAGGAAAAACGGCAATAATCGGTACGTTTTCGTTCCGTTCCAATGTGCATTTGTCGTGCAGGTCTGATCCTCCATCGATCACATCGAACCCAGTACCACCCAACGCCCCTATATATTTCACCTAGCCAGTGCCTATCGGCCTACCCATGTGAAATCGTACGGTCCCTGTGTCCCTCAGGCGGTCAGCCGCTGACGGACGGTCAGCCGCTGTCGTACGGTCCCTTCCCTGTGTCCCTCAGGCGGTCAGCCGCTGACGGTCAGCCTCAGTTGGCGGCCGGGTCGCTGCAGTACTCGCCGTCGGCGGCGTTGGCTGAAATCCAGGTGAGCGCATCGGTGACCCTGGCGTAGACGCCCGGGTAGCTGGGGTCGGCGCAGCTGATGCCCCACGAGACAACGCCGATCAGCGAGTAGCGGTTGTTCTCGAGGCTGACCAGCGGGCCGCCGCTGTCGCCCTGGCACGAGTCCTTGCCGCCGGTGCCCAGCAGGCCGGCGCAGACCATGCTGGAGGTGATGGAGTAGCCCGAGTAGGCCGACTGGCAGGCCGAGTTGCTGATGACGGGGACGGTGACCTCGCGCAGCGCCGTGGCCTGCGAGCCGCCCGACGCGGTGGTGCCGAATCCGGTGACGATGGCGTCGGCGCCGACAAAGTCGTTGGAGGCGGTCGGCAGGCAGGCGGGCGCGATCTTGTTGTCGGCGGGGAAGGTGATGGCCGTGGCCAGCTTCAGCAGCGAGAAGTCGTTGGCGTATGTGCCAGAGTTGTAGTTGGGATGATTCTTGATCTGGGCGATGTTGAAGCGGATCTCTCCGTCGTCCTGGTTGATGAGGTGCTCGCGCAGCAGGACCTGGATGCGACTGGCCGACGATCCGGCCGTGCAGTGAGCCGCCGTCAGCACGTAGCGGCTGTTGATGACGGTGCCACCGCACCAGGTGCGACTGTTGCCGGTGCTGACCAGACCTGCCTGCCACGGGTACTCGTTGGCCTCGGTCTGCACGCCGCCGACGATGCGCGAGGCGCGGTTGACGTTGCCGCAGGCGCAGTTGTCGGAGGGCGGCGGCGGCGCGGCCGTGGTGGTCGGAGGCGGCGCCTCGCCGACCGTGACAGCGCACACGAACCCGGAGCGCACCACCGAGTAGTCGGTGTGCCAGTGGATCGCCATCTGGTCGATGGCGGCCACGCCGCTCGGCCCGTTGGAGCCGCAGAACTTGTTGCCATCCACAGACAGCCAGTCGTACGCGCAGCTCGAGTGGGACTCGACGTCGAACTGCGAGCACGTCACCGACAGCTGGTCGCCGGCCTGGTCGGCGTACAGCTGGTAGTGGCAGTCGACGTCGTTGCTGTAGTCGCCGTCGCCGTCGGTGATAGCGTGCTGGCCGCGCGCCAGCCGACTGCCTCCGCAGCTGAGCTGCGAGCCGGCCGGCACCACGGTCGGCTCCACCACCGTCACCGTGCACCGGTAGCCCGACCGGACGACGCTGTAGTCGCTGTGGAAGTCGATGTCGAGCTGAGGTGCGGCCATGGTCGACGGCCCGCTGGAGCCGCAATACTTGATGCCGTTGACTCGGAGCCAGTCGTACCGGCACTGGGAGTGAGACTCGAGGTCGAACGCCTCGCAGCTCAGCTCGAGGTCCTTGCCGGTGTCGGTGGTCAGTGTGTAGACGCAGTCCTCGTAGTTAGGGTAGTTGGACGGGTAGTTGGGCGACTCGATAACCACCGTCGAGCCCTCGGCGACCACATGAGAGTCGCAGGACAGGGCGCCAGAGCGCGGGCTGGGAACGCCGGTGTCGCCCTTAGGACCCGGCTTCCTTTCTTCGGGAGGCGGCTTCTTACCCTCAGGCTCCGGCTTCTTCTCTTCGGGAGGCGGCTTCTTGTCCTCAGGGGGCGGTTTCCTGGCATCCTTGCCCTGGAGCGTGCTGGGCAGCGCCAGAGCGCCGGCCAGCAGACAGCCGAGCAGCAGCAGCTGACACGTCTTCATCCTGTGACCTCCGGAGAGCAGAGCTGACTGGGACGCCGACACCACGGGACACGCCCTATTTATACCGCCGGGAGTGCCGCTCTCAGCTGCAGCGGATCCGCAGAAAATCAGCCGAATCAGCTCGGGCGTGACAAGCCCGAGCTGAAACGACATGAAACCGAGCACATCCAGAGCGGTTGATACAAAGACTTCGGGCCATCGGACACCGTCACACAGGTGTCCTGCGCTATAGAGACAATGGTGGTTGGCTGTTCCGGATGAGATTGCAATAAAACAACACGACGACCGCAAAAACGACCTATGCTAAAAACTCTGCGACACAAAGAAACAGCTGTTGGTGGGCCAGCGACAGAACAGCTGAGGAACACAGTGACGAACGAACGGGTTATCTTTCACACTTTTTGCTCAGAGTCCGGAGTGATCGGCAATATGATAGACTATTTCAATTTTGCCGCGGACTGCTACCACGAGCAACTTTGCGTCAGATCAGACGCCCATTCCAAATCATCCCGAGTGACCAGAAGTCAGAACATACCCAACCAAATGTTCTTTAGGCAAAGCTTCCAATAGTTCGCGCATAGCATACCATCTTCGGGAGCACATACTCGTACGTCCCATAGTTGAACTTCTAATAGAAAAGCTAACGCTTTCGAGCCTCGACTGTCGAAGTTGTCGGCAACATTCTTCTCGCCCTGTGGCCGTTTTGGGCCATTCGTCGTAAATCGAAACCCGATCTCGAAGCAATTTTCCGAAAAGCTCCATCTTAGAGCCAAAAGCCGATCTTGGAACTAAAAGCCGATCTTTGAGGCCATTGATTGGCCTGTTGTGCGAGGTCACCGAACGGTAAAATCGTGTTTTGTTGGGATGGGCCTCCTATAGTGGATACCAATCCGTCCATCTTACACGGTCTGTCCTATCCCAATCTGAAGAGGCCCACAGATCAGCAGGGGGAGCGGGTCCCAACTACACCGCTGATCTATTGGAGGACGCGTTATAATTTATAGGTAGGACGATCTATATAGGTAACCTGCATTATAGCGTTGCCAAGCGTTACATGGGCCGGCGCCATGTATGGTTAGCTCGCTCGTCAACAAGACTTCGGCCGACCACTCGTCATGCTTTTTCCGATGCCCACGAATATAGCGCTTTTATGCAGTCCGTGATACAAATAGCCGTTAAAACGGGAAACTTGACAACGTCGTCGAGACTTTTCTTCGCCAAATTTGAACGTGGTCCGCAGTCTGCAGTGCCCGCAGTGGTGCTAATATTCGATTTGCTGCGACAAGCTGTTCAAACGAAGAGATATTTCGCTTTCCAGTCGTCCGACTAATGCAGGCCAACAAGAAGGTATCACTGAATTACATATACAGGTTATCTTGTCAGTTGTCGTGTGTGCAAAGTACCTCACTCGTTATGCATGGATACGGAGATCATCGCTTGGAAGCAAACCTAGCTTTATGTTCAGACTTCCGAGCGTGTGAATCATCCTCAGGGTATGCGTGCCAAATGTGTGCGTGCGAATGGATCAACAGGTCGGACTGAGCAGTGGACCAGACACTTCCCTAGCCCGGCAGCGTTTCACCAGCGGCAGGTAGCGGTGTGGGGCGGTTCGGCCCGCCGTTACCCCACCAGGGTGACCTAGGGACGGCCCTGCGCGGCACACGTCCGGTGGAGCCACTCGCTGCTCCCCACCTCCCCGCCACCGCCGCCGCCATGCCACCGCCGTAGCCAGTGGCATCGAGCGATGAACGTCGTCAGGCACCCACGGCCACGTCTCGTATTTCAGCCCGCCTAATCCTCAGCAGTGAAAAGAAGTGGTAAAAACAATACATGTATTGCACCGTCTCGTATCACAGTCGGTTACATCGTTATCACTTGCTGGCCAGCAACTGGCTTTGTACTGGGAAGCCGGGACGCAGGCCGCACACCAAACCTGTAAAATAGAGCCGGTTAGAATAGGGCGCGGAAGATTCAGAGCAGTGACAATCTTTGACCGAAAGTGAATAAAGCTAATATCAAACCATAAACGTTATAAGCTATATTTACTCAATGAATCGATGATTAAGGAAACAAAGATAACCGATGTAAGACTAATTCCACTAATTATCATTACGTGATAGGTGCATTGAGTCATTGTGACCACTGGTTGTGATGAAAACAAACAATATTTTACAAATTGAATTTAAAGGTAAACAATAGGTTCAATAAATGCCGCAACCATAACTAATGAACCAAGTTACTACACGTGACAACAACAAAGAAAGATACATCAAATGGAAAACAGCGTCTACGCAAAAAAACCCTCATTATCTTTTTTAACGTTTGACTTAAAAATGCTCATGGAAACTCATATTAATCTCAATGTGATCACAAATACTGATCTGAAAAGAAAAGTACCTGCAGAACTACATACAACAGAGCCCAGTAGCCTTACCCTGTCGGTGGCCAGCCCTTCGGCTGCCTGCCTCGCCTACCTCCTATCGAACCGTCTCAGAGCCGGCGACTGACGCCTCCTACACGGTCTAGCTGATCCTGTCGCCTGTCTGCCTACCCTGCCGCGGCCGGCGGGCGCGCCAGAGGCGGCCGCGCGCTGCACCGCTACTCGGCCGAGACACAAACTAGCCTGTCAGATTAGCCTGTGAGTGGCCGGCGCTGTGCCGCGCCCTGCCTGGCTGAGTGGGGACGGCCCGCCCCAGAGCCTGCTTAGAAGAGACACCCTACACAGTGATATCACAGCTGGGTCATCGCCATGTATTATCTGTCACTGTCTGCGTACTGGTTACAGCGCACGGGCGGGAGGGGGGCGGGCGGCCGCTGTCGGCTCCCGGGCCTGCCACAGCAGCTCGTGCGACCTCTCGGGGGCTCGGGACCTACCGGCGGCCGGCTAGTCGGCCGCCGCCTCCAAACGGCTCAGACGCCGCACACTGACGTACAGACAATGTTATCATCGGTCAAACCCGCCTCTAAAAACGGACACCACAATAAGCAGCCAATCACTTAATGAATGATAGATGATGAGACATTATGCCGGGGTCGGACGTAGGCCGATGGCCGCGGCTGAAAATGGACCTGATGGCTGGCGGCCGGCCCAACGGGCGCCGTGGCGAGCGTAAAACCCCTCCCACTAGTAACTGCCCTGCCCCCTGCCCCCGGCTGTCAGACCCGGGGCGATGCTGACCGGACGGCCGGAGGGAGAGTGGAGGGCGAGACGACTCGAGCCGGCCCGGCAGCCGCTCAGTACCGGTTGTAGCCGCCGCCGCCTGCCGACAGGGGACGACAACCGTCAGTTCAGCGGCACAGAAGGGGAGTCTGCGCACTGGCTGAATACGCAGAAAGCACAGGACAGCCGAAGCTAACAGCATTTAACCAGAAATGAGTAACTACGAGGGTAACAAACACTGCCCCTTCCCCACCTACCGCAAATGGCTCATAAGCTCCCGAATGAAAACAAAGATGGATGTTCTAAACTATGCACAGGTTTACTATGCACACTGAGCGCTCCACCGATCACACATCACCAGATCCCACCAAGCACGTACAGGGGGGACCCGCTGTTGCTTATGTGCACATATATTGCCGGCTTACAATTGTGCTTTTATTTGCTAACTGCTGGCCAGCTTATTGTATTTCAGCTCGATGGTCTGTAAAAACTGCTATCAGAGGAAAACTGGGTGCTTCGGGCCGGCACTTAAACGCCAATAGGTATTCAACCCTCGTCCGTTTTGGCACTTTTTCAGCGTGTTACGTATATAGGAAGGGGAGAAGAAATCCCCAGTCGTTCGGCCCCTGATAGAGCCATAGAGCTTCACGGAAAAGGAAATTATGAGCGTGCTGCTCGGGACTAGACGGGACGGGACTAGACTAGAATAGAATCAACTTTTTTTAGATTAACGTTATAGGTCAGGTTAATGACCCAAATGCACGGGACATCTGGTCCTGCTATAATTTCTTCAAGTTAGGTTTAATAATTTATCCCGTACCGCCGATATCTTTCGGGCGCTTAGAGGTAAAAAATACATTTAACATAAAAATACGACTATGTATTCCAGACTAGACGAAATGTTTTTTTTCTGGACGTTTCACAATTTGTTAATCGTCTAGACGTTTAACAAATCAGTTACACAACTGATAATTTTCTCTTTTTGCACGTGAAGCAATTGTAAACAGTTAAACACTGTCTACGGTACGGGATATTGGAGGTTTGCTTGCTCCTGACTTCCAATTTTGCATTTGTTCTAATCAAAGATGATGTAGCAAAGAATTTCGGGTAGGTCGGGTCTCGCCAGGTCATCAAGAAAGCGTCCCGCCGGCTATTTATAGGAACTGGAGTGCAAAACTGGAGCAGAAACTAGCGCCGGAACTAGTAACCAGGGCCCTGTTCGGTGGCTGTTTTTATATCAGCGTGCTGTCGGTTTTTCCCATATAAGGAAGTTATTGCTGGCGCTTCTTGGCCTCTCATTGGTCTAACGAATAGACCACTTGAATTCGACCAATGAGGAGCCAAGAAGTAGCAGCATGCTCGCAGCCTGCTGATAAATAAACGGGGGGCGAAAAGAGCTCGGCACGACCATCGTTAGATGGCAGGTCGAGTGAATGCAATAAACGGTTCCAGATTTCAGGAGTGGGGCAGGAAATAGTGCTAAAAACAATGTTTTGCCGATACAACCATAAAAAGATGATTCAATTAGGAGATATTTTCATCAATTTGAAGCCTTTCAAACGACGGTTTCAATAAGCCTACAATCAATTCCTAATTCACTTTCAATGGTGTCACAGGCCAAGAATACTCTGAAATATGTCTGATATATGAAAATGTCCTCTCCGTGGCCGAGTGGATAAAAGCGCCGGAATTCGACGCTTAGCCGGAAGTGAGAGCCCGGTTCAAGCCCCGGTGCGGGCGGCCACATTTAGCTCCTACGTGTAATGGCGTGCGTGTCTGTGGCAGGGGCCGCACAGAAGCCAGGTAACGTGAGTGAGCGGAGGGGACCGTGTCCAGTCGTGAGGGCACGTTTAACGTTCGGACAAAATTCTGCCATACAACTGGAATTGCGCGATCGGGTGGTGGGGTCAGGGTCAGCACAACAAGCTATGCTTAGTGCGGGCTCTGATTCCTCAAATCCGCCCATTCAGCCATTCGGACTAAATTTATAAAAAAATACTAGTATGTACCGAAGCAACCGCGGGTCCCAGTACAGTAGCAGCCGCGTGTCTCTGTACCTCCGCCGTATCCGCCGCGCTGGCCGGAGCTGTAGGGCGCCGAGCGGGCCGTCTGGCCGTAGCCGCCCTTCATCGGACCGCCGCCCTGGCCACCGCCGTAGCCGCCCCCGTATCCGCCGCCCTGGCCGCCCCCGTATCCGCCGCCCTGGCCACCGCCGTATCCGCCGCCCTGGCCACCGCCGTATCCGCCGCCGCCCTGGCCGCCCCAGCCGCCGCCGCCTGAAATACACGGCCAGAAAACGTGTGCAATGTCAAAGAAGTCGCTCAAAGCCATGTGAAGTGATCATATGTAAACGCGAATGTCAAAGAAGCAGACAAATACAAAGAAAAAAAAAACATTGGTTGCATTCTTGGAGCTAGCAAAAAAAAAAAAAAAAAAAACACGAAAAAACAGCTCAGTAATGATGACCCGGAAAGCCGAGAATGTTTTTGAGTAGTGTTTTCGTTTTGTGACTCGGCGACTTCCCTCGGCACACGGGAGCAGGCTCTGCCACTCACCGCCGCCGTAGTTATCGAAGCCGCCGCCGCCGCCGTAGCCACCACCGCCGTAGCCGCCGCCACCTCCGTAGCCGCCGCCGCCGTATCCACCGCCGCCCTGGCCGTAGCCGCCGCCCCACTGGCCGCCGGGGCTGTCCCACGGCCCGCTCTGGCCCCAGCCGCCGCCACCGCGACCGCCGCCGCGGCCGCCCTCGCCCCAGCCGCCGCCGCCGCGGCCGCCCCGGAATCCGCCGCCGCCGCGACCACCGCGGCCGCCGCTGCCCAGCTCCGCCATCTCGGCCTTGCTGAGAGCCTTCTTCACGTCCACAGACTTGCCACAGACCTCGTGGCCCTTTTGCACTGCATTGGCGAGAGAGAAGAGGAAATGTCAACACAATGAAAGGATGAAACAAAGAAAAAACAATAATATAACAATGCAAGCACACCAATCAGTTTGATCTGAGCCAACCGAGGACACCGATTCATTGTTTGACTTACATACGATCTTGTCGACCGAGTCGTAGTCCTGGAACTCGATGAAGGCAAAGCCGCGCATCTTGCCGGTACTCTTGTCAATGGGCATGTTCACGGAAACGATATCGCCAAAACTCTGTGGGAGTTCAGAAGATACAAGTTAATATTGCCAGCAATTTCAATCACTTCAAAATCACATCGATTGATGACACTGGTATAGTTCCCTCCATTAGAGAAACCGTCACAAACAAATGGAGCGTGCACTCCGCGAGGTTCGCCCGTCCGGCAGACTCACCCCGAAGTAGGCCTGCAGGTCGCTCTCCTGCACCTCGTCCTTGATGCCGCCGATGAAGATTTTCTTGACGGTGACGTTGTTCTCCATGCGGCCCGAGTCGTCGCGCGGGATGGCCCGCTTGGCCTCCACCTCTCGGCCGTCGATCACGTGCGGCCGGTTGGCCATCGCGTCATCCACCATCCCGGGCTTGGCGTACGTGACGAACCCAAAGCCGCGCGACCTGGCCACACCGCGCCACCGTCAGCCCAGGCCGGCCCATACCTACCAACTGGGCCGTTATAATGACGGCAGACAAGCACCTCTGATGAAAGTATACAAATATAGGTTCTTTGATTCAACAGGAGCAACATTATTTAACTTACTCTTACTACTGACAACCACTAAATAGACAGCTGGTGGCATTATTCCTGTCAAATACCAAAGTTTTCTAAAAATACTTGTGCACCACTACCGTTGCACACGTCCGTTTCGGGGAGCTCACCGTTTGGTCTTCGGGTCCTTCATCACGATAACGTCCACGATTTCGCCCCATTGCTCGTAGAAGGCCTTGAGGCCATCGTCCGTTGTCCGGTAGTCCAGACCACCGATGAACAGCTTCCGGTGCTGCTCGAACGGGTTGCTAACACCCTGCCAAGGAACAGGCAATCTCCATTATATCACCTAACCGTAAGTCGTATCAAAATCTGACATTAATTGGCTTCAAGCGCAGGTACCAATCACTCCAGAGCTCTGTTCGGTCGCTGTTTTTATATCAGCGTGCTGTCGGTTTTCCCCATATAAGGAAGTTATTGCTGACGCCTCTTCGCCTCTCATTGGTCTAACGAATAGACCACTTGAATTCGACCAATGAGGAGCCAAAAAGTAGCAGCATGCTCGCAGCCTGCTGATAAATAAACGGGAGGCGAACAGAGCTCAGGACACTTCAGGGAACTTATCAACATCTAGAGCGCTCAGAAAGTTGCTTTGTATTGTAAGGTGTAAAGTCAGAGGTGCTAAACAAGCTGAGTATGGGTCATCATAGCTTCCAGGAGCTTCTATGCTTCTATGTTGGGAATTACCATTTGGTGTAATATAGTCCTTCAGTAAGCATCACAGTTCCGTGTAAGCATGCCGCTGGACATGCAGTGATGGGATATCACTTCATTCAACGGTGCTTGAGCCTTGAACATTGCACATTAACATGACTCACGACTTCAACGGAGATGGATGAAACACATTGATGGAAGGACTGGACTGAACAATGCACAGTGGCCCTTTTTCAGAATTAGCACGCATAAATTCAAAATATTTTTTCTCTTCTTTTGTGTATCTTTTCTCTTCTCTTCTTTTTGTGTATGTCTCGTCTTTTGTGTCGTATTATGCATCGTTCGAATCGCCGATCTCTTCTGACCATATCCACCAAAGGGCATCGCGCCATTTTGCGCCATTTTGCTTCTACGGTGGATAACGTGAGTCAGTTCAGTCCGCGAGAGGCTGTGGCTCCTACGACTAAGCTCATTGACCTAGCTCGAAGCTGGTATCACCTGGTGTGCGCCTAAATGTGGCTTGACTTTTGCCATAGGATGTGCTAAGAAATGTCATGCATAACGCTGTGCCCAAGAAAAACTGTCCGATTTCTTGTCGCGTTTGATGTCCAAGCCGCACAAGTCCCGTGGCCGGGTTAAGATCGAACGTCAAAAGCGCTATGTTTTTGTATTGTTCGCGCCGCGCTGATCTTAGCTGCTGCCCGGCCGGGGTCGACTAACGGTGGCTGGCAACAGCTGTAGATGCGGTCACGTGACGCCCTGGGGCGTCCTGGCGGTCAGTGCAGCGCGGTTGGCTGGCGGGCTCGCCATACAGTTCTCTATATACCGTGGCCACACGCGTTCGGAGCGGCCTGCCGGCGGGCGAGCCGTGCGAACGTGCGCCAAATCTTGGGCCGAGCGGCCTGCCGCTGTTGGGCCGAATCTCCTTGGGCAGTTCGTTTCTTTTTTTCTTCTCTTTGCATTGGCAGGGAATACGTCCTTGATCACGTGGTGATGTCTTGCACCACTTTCAGGTAATGTGGAAATTAATGCGTGCTAATTCTGAAAAAGGGCCACTGTGCAACGGAGAAAGGTTAGCTGCCTTGGACCTCTATTCAGTACAGGGTACACTGCTGCGGACTGACCTGATCCAGTGCTGGAAAATCCTAAATAACCACTCCTGTATCAATCCAAGAGACATTTTCCAGAGGCCTTGATATCGCAGTGGTACCAGGGGTCACGGATGCAAGGTATTTCCCCTATCCACCAGAACTGACACTCAGTATCGGCGGAACACCTTCAATTAAGGGGGGACACTGCCGACTTTTGATCCCATTCTTTCCATGCAACGCCCATGATAGGGCTAATGTTAAAATGCCGAAATCAAAGGGGGGCACGGTGCCCCGGTGCCCTCCCCGTTCCACCGCCTATGCAGACACTCGCAAATGCTAATTTCTGTTCTCTGTATTCACATATGGAATACATATATGAATAAATTCGAAGGTACATTTTAACACAGGGGAGCAATGCCGCTTCAACTCAACCCTATTGGCCGTAGTGTCTGACAGTGGCGGCCATATTGCGCAGACCAGGAACCGGCCGCCGCATGTGTTGAGGAATAGGGAATTCGGGACCTCGATTTACGTTTGCGGCCGCCGCATCCGTTACGTTCAAGTTACGTAGATACGGAACCCGGCATCTTCCGCGAAATTGAGTGGGGAACACTATTGGATCTTCAGAATTCCTCAAATTCACTCGCTGGACCATCGTCTTTCTACATTTGGCCTGGCCGAGAGGGTTGATTGAACCCACCTCGCTAATGCGCCGCTAATTCAACAAGAATTTAGCGGTAAAGTGGTCGTATGCGGCAGAGTACGATGCAGAGTGACTGGTAGGAATCCGCTTTAACCCGCGCCCTGCTGGGGGGGGGGGGGGTGTTTGAACCAGGGGTAGCCAGTAACAGTTGGTAGCATTAGGCCAAATGGGCGCTCAAAAACTACTACCCCATAGGGTTTCCATGTTAAATCGACATTTTTCAAGCGAGCCTCACACGTAACCTAAAAGATAAAGTGCCAATATTATTGTGGGGAAAGGTAGCTTCAAGCTTCCTCTACAACCTTTTTATCTAGCGTTTTTCGATGCGGAGGCCATAACAGGTCCAAAAAGCATTGGGCGCTGCCCGAGGTACCAAAAGCCCCTCCATGAGAGCACAAGTTCCTGCGCATGCGCACATTGCCTCAACCCTGTACTAGCGTAAATTAGTGATACTGCTCACGGACTCGGTCAGCCAATCAGCGTCCCCGATAACGTTAATAGATGTCGCTAGCATCACGTAAATCCTACTTGCGAACACATTTTAAGAATGAAACAGCTGCGCCATTTCGGCCTTCCAGTGATTCCTGCCATCTTAGTATCAACTATACGATTTTCAACTAACTTTAGACTAAGTTTTAAACTATGGTCAGTATGTTATTTCTGGTACATATAATTTAAAAATAACTGCTTTATGAATTTGGCTTTACTCGTCAGAATAGAATACTCTATTTTTTCCATATTCAAAAAATATATCACCTACCATGCAACTCATCCAGGTAAAATGGGCGCTTTCCGCGTCGTTGGTGTACCCGTTGTTCTATATACCCTGGTTTGAACACCCCCCCTTGTGGTTTTTCGCGAATATCTCAAAAACGGCGGCGCGGAGCGCCGCCGTTTTTGGTACACCTTATCATACATCAATTCCACACATGTTGTGAAAATTTCAGACCAAGGTCATTCAAGGTCAGGTCACCAGGTCACTTGAAGTGACCTCACCTCATAAAAAGTTTCAATGTCTGTCATAGCTACACCGAGTGACCGATCGCTTTGAAACTTTCAGCGATTGCTAAGAGCAATAGCATGTACAAAATGTATATCTCAGAATTTTGATATCGATGACCTAAGGTCAGGTCAATTTTGTGACCTCCCCATTATAAGTCAATGGGAGAAAATTGAAATGCGCCTCTTTTGGATAAAAGACATTATAAACACTCCCAAACACCGAATTACAAGTGGTTTAGACACACTGAACATGAAAATGGCGTCCGTGACTCTTGTTTATGCCCTGAGGTCATCTTAGGTCACGAATGGTATCTAACAGTTTTTCGCAAATAACTTTTGATAGAGGCATGCTAGAGCAATGAAAACGCCTTAGATGTGTTCAGCTCGACGATACGGATCGACTGATATGCAACATGACCCTTTCCGGTCAGGTCATGACCTTGACCTGAGGTCAAATTTTCAAGTTGACCTTTCAAGGTCAAGTTATAGTTCATTCGATGCGTCTCGACGAGAGGAACACGATGCCGGTGAAAGTAAGCTCGTACAAGGCTTGGGTCAAAAGTTATTGCGGAAAAACTATTTCCGAAAAAATCGGCTATTTTTGCAGTTGACCTGCAGGCAAAACCGTTGACGTTAGGTCAAATCTGAGAGAATTACTCAGAAAGGGCGTTAATAGGGCTATCGAATGCGCTTTTCCGCGGCGCTGTAGCTCTATTGGTTCCCGAGTTATGCGTTGGCTTCTTGGAAATTTTCGACATTCGACCTGGAAATCGGCGAAATTTTGCCTTCAATGACCTCTGGTGACCTGACCTTTGACCTGACCAAAAAATTGACCGAAGTGATTTCGTCATTATTTTTGACGCTCTTTCGAACGCCGCCTTCCGCGTATCGCTACGTGGCCCAGGAGCCGAGTTACAGGGGGGGGGGGGGGGGTGTTCAAACACCCCTCCCCCAGCAGGGCGTGGAAATCCAGGACCCCCAGCCGGGCGCGGGTTAAAGGTTTCAGGTCAACCGGTGACATCTGAGGTCAGGTCAAGTGACCTAAGGCACGGGTTGTTTTTGTAAATAACTTCGTCAAAAATGGCCGTAGAGCCGCGATTTGGGCATCATCGTGTTCACCTAGCTCAGGCGCATGGAGTGATATACTTATTGTTCGGATGAGGTCAATTTAAGGCATTGACCTCGTGACAAGGTCAGGTCAGAGCTCTGTCACAAAGCTGGTCGAGTAAGGTCATGTTGCATATCATTCAATTAGGCAGGTCTTTTTTCTGAGTCCATTTGTGGCTTTTGCTAACTATATTTGATCGTGAATTATTGAAGAAAAGTTTATGACCCTTGTGACGTCACAAATGACGTCACGCAAGGGCAACAATGCAAATGTGAAGCATCGAACCTTGCAAGGAGTGCATGAAATCACGATTCTATATGCTTGATAGTTTCAAATCATTTCCGGCGCGAAAATAGCAATTTCCATGTTTCCCCATTGACTTTTGACCTGCACCCCGTAGGACTATCGGCGGACCCTACCACCCGTGGGGGGGGGGGGGGCGTTTCGGCCCCCCTAAGATCTCGGAAATTTACCGGCCGATTTTCAAAACTCAAACGGCGTTCGATAGCCCCACTGGGGAACTACCTTGTGACGAACTTTCATTGACCTAGGTCAAACCGATGACGTCAAAGGCCAAGTCAAAGGTAGGATTTTCACCATGCACAGGCATTTCAAGAAATGTGCTGTGAAATCGAGTAAATTTGTAAGTTATTGAAAACCATCGATAATATATTGTTCGTCAAACACATACTTTGCTATCTGAGGTCATCGACACCAGGTCAGGTCACAGAGGTCAGGTCACTGGGGGTCACAATATGAAAGTGTTGCGTGATACATGTTTTATGGTCGATTTTACATGACAAATGCGATTAGTGGGTCAGGCAGCCCTTGGGACCAGCTTAGGTCACGATTTGGTGAAGATCAGGTCAAGGTCAGGTCAAAATAGGTCAAAGTTCAAAGTTGATATTTTTGCATAAAAGGGGTATAGATTCGATGCAGCTCGTCACGGGGAGTCTAATGGTGGTCTTTGTTTTGCCCTACGTGGTCTCGAATTGCCAAAAATTGAGTTCGAAAATTTGATATCATTTTTGAAGTTGTTTTGCTATAACTTGGCCAAAAAACAAGACATTGATCTGAAATTTGGTATGTAGATAGAAGATGGTGGCTACTATCACATATATTTAGTTTTTTTCTTAACTCAAAAAACTTTTTGGATATTTTGGCAAAAATATCCAAAAAATGCTTTTTTGATTTTTGGGTCAATTTTTCTGTATCTTCAAAGTTGTAGGCCTGACAGCTCTTCTCTCGAAGGTCTTTTTCCGGTCGAAAACGCCAGAACATTGATGTCATTTGTGGCCAACTTAACATAGCCTCTGGAAAAATTTTTGGTCACAATGTGTAAATTGATACCCGGAGGGGTCCTGAAAGTTTGGTGGCGATATCTCCACCCGTTTTGGTGATATCGACTGAAAAGGACAGGGGGGGACGTTTCAGCCCCCCTACGGAGCGCGGGTTAAGGGTTTAACCTATAATAGGCTATAAGTTCCCTGTATCTAAGGATTTTTTAAAGATTTCATCTCGTTCTCCACTTCATTCTGCCAAGATGCCGGGTTCTGGGTCTACATAGCTTGAACGTAACAGATGCGTCGTCGGCCACAAACGTAAATCAAGGTCCCAAATTCCCTAATCCCAAACACAGGCGGCGGCCCCTTCCTGTACTGCGCAACATGGCGGCACCGTTGGACACCATCTGGCGGCCGATGAGCCTTCCACATTAAGAGTTCAGTGATTTTAACATTAGCGCCAGATATGTCACAGTTGCGTCATAACTGTCACATTTACTCAACTTGACATTTAAAGGCAAACAGAACATGAAACAGCCTAAAAAACATCCATAATACATGCAAAACATCTTCTTAAAACCAGACTTTTGTATTTCCAAGCATTACACCCGCTACCGGCATATGTGGTGCAGAGGGAAGGCCCCCGGTCAGGACCGAGGGGTTCCAGTAATCTTGATCTGTGTTCACCACAAAATCAACAGAAAACTCTCACTTACCGGCATACTTCAGATTGTGTAGGAAGATTCGTGTACGCTGGATGTAAAAAGCATAAAAATCTAAATCTTTTTGGGCGAAGCACGCACTGCAACCAACCGATCTCCCAATACTTGCGCACGCTTCCGGAAAGCGCAAACTTCCGACAGACGCAAATCGAAAATCTTGCTTCTAAAACAGCCTAGTATGAATACTTTTTTATGCTTATTTTTTCAATTGTATCATTTTATCACTCGCACTTGTGACCCTTAAATTAGTATGAACATAAAATAGGACTAAAATATAAAAGAAAACCATACAAAATCATTGCTGATCCAATTCTGCCTTCTACTTATAAGTGAAAAATGTACTAGTTTAAGTATCGACTTTTCAACTTATTAAGTAATCTTTGGAAATCAAACACATATTTTGATCAAATTCATTTCGAGCAAAAAAATGATTCAAATTTTTTATTCAAATTTATACCATTAGTCAAAATAGAAAAAAATAAATCGAGGGTTATCAAAAAGCTACTAGATTTGAAGCAACAAATCGTTTCTCGTTTCCCGCTTCCGAGGGATTGTGGCGCGGGTACCGGTGTTTTGTGTAAAGAAATTTGGTGAGGACATATCAATATCGGATGAGGGTTGATGTCACGTATCATGTACATTTTGATCCATAAGCTGCATTTCTCATGTGAACTCTCTTTCATTTGCTTATAAGTGCCATTTCGTTTTGCGGCCATTGAGGGCAAGTCGTGTGCATTTGAACATGAATTGGAATAGCAATTGGCAATGTTCTGGAATCATAGCTTGAATGTATGAATTTAGTTGACAATACTTATTTTGAGTACATATTTCTTTTAAATTTATGATAATTTAGTTATAGTTTTCAGGGACTGAGCCCTGGTGCACATATTCTCGGAGGCTGGCGGTTGGGAGCTTCACATTCAGAGGCGGTTGGTCTGAATCCGCTGCTCGAGATTCGGTTGTCTAGAATATGCTACTATCAGCAGCGTATTCATCACATGTCTGTATCAGCAGCAGCTTCTAGCTAATACCGCATATAGGCGCAGTGGACTTAGTGTCATGCTCTTGGTATTGGTCTCAGTCCTTGGGGAGGGAGGCAGTGAAGTTGACTGCTGCAGTGTTTGGTGTTTGCATCAGAGTATGACGTTAACGTGTTTCTCATGCTAAGTACAGCTCACAGTGTCTCCTTGACTGTGACCCACAGGTGTAAGGCCTGATAGGTGCTCATTGGCTATCAGTCTGGTCTGGTGGCATAACTAGAGAGCCAAAATGTTTTGTCCTCAGCGCTGTGTGCTGATCGATCCTGTCACTAGAGGTAGAGGATTCTCATAATGCTAAGGGTGCTTTTCCTGCACCTGACAAGTAGGACCTTCAAATTCTTGTGTTTTAAAACACATTTAGGTAGGTTTCCCAACATCATCACTGTTTTATGTGAAGTAGTCTGTGTCTAATATGAAATTTAAGCAATTGCTCTAACATTATGTGGTAACCTTTGAATTTTAGGCACCCCAAAGCTGCTATATCTCCCCCTCCCCCTCTTGGTTCCAAGAACACATTTTGTCATACGTAGGCTGGTTTAACAGATACTTTATGCATCTGGCAAATTATGGGGCTTTCTGTTGTTGAATTTACCAAAATTTACCTTGAGTCACTTCCAGTACCCAGAACTTGACCAACAAGTAATTAGACTGGAAGTAACGCTTGGTGGTCGATGCATCCTTTTATGGTGGTATTCCATCCCGCTGTGATAATTTCACCCCTCGTCCTCGCAATCTGTAACCCACCCCTTATCAAATGTATCGCTGGGTGACTCTGAAGGACTGTTTTCATGGCGCTGGGGTCCAGGGGGTCGCTGCTCCCCCGTCTCGCCCTAATCGTCACAGTGCTGGCCCCACTGCCGATTCTCGGTTAAGGAGCACTATGGGAGTAGGTATTTGGTGAGCTGGAGATTTGATGGATGCGTAGCAGACTGCGAGTCAAGTCGGGATGTTTACTGTTTGCCCGATGACCCGTTTAATGTCGACTGGACTTAATGGCCTATGATTGTTGGAGAAGATGGGCGCAAAATGACCCCAGCAGACCAGAGGGGTGTTCACGGGCACCGCAAACTGCTGAGTGCGGTGTGTGCAGCAGGCGTGGGGGTAGGGGATGGGTAGGCGTTTCTGACGTGACTGCGTGCGGTGGATGGTCCGCTGTGGCCAGTCCCGACCGGCCACAGCGGTCGCTGTGTGCGGTGACGGAAGGCTGACGCAGTGGGCGGAGCTTGGAGGCTGTGTACGGTCCGGCCGCACACAGGGCCCGTGAAGAGCCCTCAGCAGTCTGTGCGCCCTAAAGCTCTAATAAACAAACGATTGTTGGAGAGGGCGGTCATGTGTTCGGGACTGGGGTCCGAGTAGGGCAAAATACGAATGCAATTAACATCATTTAGTGCTGCTGTTTCTAACATCACACTAACAATCCAAATGATGGTACGACAGCGGTCCTTACGGGCCATTCGGCGATATTATCATGATGGGCGAGGGAGGATGATATAATGTGAGTTGTTCGTGCGGATCCTCACTTACCTATATAATAGGCGAATATCTGGGTGTACAAAGATTGCCCTACAAAGATTTGCGCTCAAACGTATGTGAACAAATTTTGGTGATCCTTTACAGACAAAGGCTATTGATCAGATCAAAAGTACCTATCTCAACATGAGTGGGGAAATATGTCGCTGATTTGGCTTTTGATGAGCTGATTTGTGATTTTTATTTGAAATGCATTTATGCAAAATACGAATGTAATTAACATCATTTAGTGCTGCTGTTTCTAACATCACACTAACAATCCAAATGATGGTACGACAGTCAGCGCTGCTATGTGACCGGCCTGTTGCTCCGTTGTTGCAGTGAGGCGGTGACCGTTGGCACACACACTCACCATGTCTGACGAGGCCAAGGAGCTGAAGGACAAGGCGACGGACGAGGAGGGAGCCGAGGAGGAGGAGGAGTACTCGGTCGAGAAGGTGCTCTCCAAACGCATCCGAAACGGAAAGCTCGAGTACCTCCTCAAATGGAAGGGATATTCAGAGTAAGTTGGCGCCGAATCATAATAATGATTTTAGGGTATGAATGGGATGAGTGGAGGGTTGTTGCTCGGAATAGGAGTTTCGGCGTTGTTGTTTGAGGCGAGATAAAGAGGTGGGATGAGATATAGTTCGTTTATTTTAAGTTTGACCCTCACTGTAAGCATCCTTTTAAACACAGCACAATAATTACTGCCTGAATTACTGAGAAAACTGGTCAGCGCACATTGTATTGAAGATGTTAACAATATTTTCTTAAGTTTTGAACACCGATGATGAACCGTTATGTTTAACGCCGTGCGATTTATTAATTAGTTCAGTTATCATTCCTGACAAATCGTCTATCCCTGTGGGGCTGTAAATATGGGCAAATACGGGCTGGGAGTCTGGGAACTGGGAGCCAGGAAGAAATAATTTTGATGATTTTAATAAAGATGATCGTCGTTTTCTCAGTAATTCAGACAGCAATTCTCGTGCTGTGTTCAAAGAGACGTTTACAGTGAGGGTCAAACTGAGAATAAACGAACTGTAGTTTGTCTGTCTTTGGCCTTATGCCGCTTATCTGGTATTTTGGAATTAATTTTTTTGTAAGACAATTTGCGCAGTTTGCGGCAAAATGCTATGTAATGGGGCATTTCTTTTCGCGCATGTCGGTTTGCTTGCGTCACACTCTGGCGAGGTTACAACGCAGTAATAATGATGCAACAGCACAGATGGCAGCACTGCGGTCATACCCGTTGTCTGCGCTGACGGTATGTGCCGGTAGAGTGAGAACTCTGGCACCGATCCGCTCTGCTCACGGTCCCTGGGTCGGCGCTGGCTCCATTTCACCCGTCTCCAAGGGCTGGCACTGTGGCTGACCCGAGACGCCGTTCCAGTGAGGACAACACCTGGGAGCCGGCCGAGAACCTCGACTGCCCAGAGCTGATCTCCGCATTCGAGGAGGCCGACCGCAAGAAGAAGGAGAAGGAGAAGGAAAAGAAGCGGAAGACGGGCGCCGGCGGCGCTGGAGACGACTCGACCAAGAAGAAGAAGAAGCCGGCCGAGGACGACTCGAAGCCGCGCGGCTTCGACCGGGGCCTGGAGCCGGATCGGATCATCGGCGCTACCGACTCGAGCGGCGAGCTCATGTTCCTCATCAAATGGTCAGTAGTGCGACGCATTGGTGGAGTTGTTTGGCCCATGAAATAGTTTGTGTTGCCCTTTGCGATGTGTGTGCAACAACACTTATTAACGATATTTGGTCTCATCTGTTAGCCACTATGTGATCAGATTAACCTATACGCGATCAGGACTGGTGTTCTGATCATCCGATGTGATCAGAGTCGATGTGTTGATCGTTGTGTTCTCGTGGTTTGGCCCTATCGTATTTAGATGTATGTCCTTTTGCTCATAGTTTGATCGCACTTCAACTGTGTCTTCGTGAACTGGCCGTAACCCCTTGGTTTGGCCGTCCGCTATCAAATGTCGCTACGTCGCCCGTCTAACCGCGTCTGTTCGTCTGCAGGAAGGGCAGTGACGAGGCGGACCTGGTGCCGGCGCGACAGGCCAACGTGCGCTGTCCGCAGACGGTCATCCAGTTCTACGAGGAGCGGCTTACCTGGCACACGTCCAACGCCGACGAGGAGGATAAGAACTAGGCTCGCGCGCGCGCACGCGCGGTCTCTCATCGGTCGGCCGGGCGCCGCCGCCACACTCCATTTATCATCATGGGCTGAAACTGGGCGGGAGGGGTGTCTCGGGGGCGGGGTCAGGGGAGGGCGGGGATGTCGGGTAGGGTGTTCGCGCGCTGAGGTGTCTCGGACCGGCGGCCTCGGGCGCGGCGGGCGGGGCACGCCCACAGCCAAGCACAGTGACCTGCAGGAGCGTTCGGTCAGCGCCGTTTTCATGTCTTATTCCTGAGTTTTGGCCATTCATCATTGTGTAGCATTGTCCTTTTAATAAAGGCTCCTTAGTGTGAGAGGCGTGTGTGATGGAGGTGAGGAGTAGTAAAGGTAAATGCCGAGTGGAGGGTGTGAATGAACTCGCGGACATGGGTACCAAATGTTTTCTATTCCCTAAATCCCTCTCGCCATTGAATGGTTTGTTCACAACTCTCGGGTGATCCTCGTAAAAACATGCACAAGTGTGTGCTCATTCTGTGCAAACTGGGAACGATATGCAGATGTGCGGCAGGTCTCCGCTCCTACAGGGACCGTGGTGAGCGGACCACTCGAGCCTTAGCCAAACGCATTCCGACTCTGCGGCGGGGGAAACACGAGATTACACTGAACAGCAATGTGCAATGGGGAGAGCTGATGTTACGTGTGACCTACCGGCTACCACTCGTCTATTTCAAAGACCATCGATTCATCCCCCATCGCCCGTTTACTCCGCCCCTCGGCCCAACGTTATCCCACCTCGCTACCTCGTCCTGACCACCCGCCTGTTCTTTCAGCGCCGCAGTCCGCACCTTACCACCACGGCCCCTTCCCGACCCGGCCTTCTCCGTCGTCACCCGCCGGGCCGCGCTGCTACCGTAGCGGCACGGCCTTCTCCGTTCACCGCCGCGCCGGGCCGGGCCGCCTCCTTAGCCCGATCACCTTCCTTTTCGTAATTCGGTGAGTACAGCAGCTCGGCTTGGTTGGGTGGCTCTCGTCATTGGTGCAAATGTAGGGGGGGGGGGGGGGGATGGACGCTGACAAACTCAGTGTTTTTTGTTTGTTTTTGTTTTTTAGTGCGACTGACTGATCGTCCACGAGCCTCGACATTGCCTCAGATCGCTGTACCCCATCGTTTTCCGTCATATCCTTTGTGCGCTATTCATACGGACCAAATGGGAATAGAACCTTCGCGTGATAGTCTTTACTGTAACTGTCATACCTACTGAATCTTGGCTGATAACGTCTGAAAACCCTGTAGTGGTATTATTGTAATTTGTTTGACTTGATTGTGCACCGAGGCGGTCGCCGGCGCACCATTTACGACCCCAGCAGGCCCCTCCGAGACCTTGAGGTGCGAAGTGGCTCCACCCCGAGCTACGAGATCTAATCGCAATCCTCCTTAGTTACGCCAGCCCCACACAGATGTTGTTGAACCCAGTGAAATGCGCCCTTGGAATGACACACGGTTTACAGTGACTCGCACGACCGTCCTGCGCCAGTCACATGACATTTTGTAATGATACTTGATCCAGCGTTTACAACGCCGAATTCTCTGAAAATTCAGAGCCTCCGATCCTCTACCATTTAATTTTCCGTCCGGCTGTGCTGTGAATGGTTATCCTAATCACTTTACCGCCCCTTTCCGGGTGGCCGGGGCGCTATGGCCCAGGCCATGTGGGGCCCATATGGGGCCGTTCTGAGCCGGCCCTGTGCCGCTCTGCCAATCAGCAGCCACTCGAATGTAACCCGGAGACTACTGGGCGTCAGTGATCCTCTTCCCGTCGTAAGGGACTGCGGTACCGGACAATAATTACACATTGGCAAGTACGACACGAACTTGATAGGTACGTACGTTATAAACGGACAACGGTTTTATATTAAGTACTGGCAAAACATTCGATGCTATTGCCAGACTCCAGTGCAGAACGTTGACGGTTTCAGTTTTTCCTTGTCGTTTTAACCTTGTTATTCTAAAATTAATGGGCGCTAATTTTAAGCATATCATTTCTAGTTTTAGTCTTCCAGGCCCTGTCGTGCAGCCGCGTCTGACATTCTTTAGCTTAGATGAAATCTTGATTGTGGCACACTGATCGCCGGCTGTGATAGTGTGAAAGGGAACACAAAAACACTTTCCCGTGCCGCTTAGCTCCGCGCCGATATGAGATCCATTGTCCCGATCTGATGGACTGGTTCAAGACAATGTGCGACCGTCTCGCATCGTTGCGATGAAATTGGCAACAAATGGCTCCTGCGGAGATACAATCATCAGCTTTGGTCGATGCCGTGGTTATGCGTTGCGCCAAACATCTAGCGGGGCACAGTCGCTGGACGTGTGCGTTACAGGAATAGGCACCTTCCTCGAGCCCCGATCTTAGTCCGTCTCCGTCAAATCTTCTGAAATTACGACACCTCTCAACTTGACAAGAAATCTCTTCGAGTCGATGACCTGCACCGGCAGATAGCGACTGCTGCTGAAGCTCCGCACCTCTTTGCATCCGTTCGCTATCGGTGCGTTCGTTACCAGGTCATTACTCACTCACTCTCACCTGTATTGTTCGCGGACCGAACCGGGCCGAGCCGTGGATGGGTCATCGGTCGGCGGGGGGGGGGGGGGGTCCCCACGCCCGTGACACGCGTCCCCACCCAATGTAAGCGGAGCGGCGTCGGTCGGCAGTGAAGCGGCACCGCATCTGAATGCGATCCCCGCGCGTGCCGCCCCAAAACCGGAACAGCGGCTCTAATTGCCGTCCTGCCGCGGGCGGCGGCGCCGTCCGGATGCGGCGTCAAACGGGCCGGGCGGGGAGGCGCGGGGCGCGGCCGGCGGCGTCCCGGCTCTGACCCGGGCGGGCCGGCCGGGCTGGGGGTCCCCACTGCTCCGCCTCCACCTGTGGACTCGGCCCCACCCCGCGACAGCACTGATGCGACGTGTTCGGGAAACCGCCCACGGCCAGCTGCCGGTGTTTGAGGGATGCGTGTGGACCAACTCTGAGGATGGAAATCGAGCGTGAATATTCAACAGGAGAGGTCGATGTCCGACCGAAGTGAGTGACCGGATCAAATTGGGGACACTGCAGGAGTGCCTAATTACGGGAGAATCAAAATGGTAGTGGAGTCGCCGTGGAATAAGGACGTTACTTCCGTATAGTAACGCTGGATGCACTGAGCGGGGTTTACGATATAAAACTTATAAGGAACGTCCGTTAAACCCGAAAATGAGAAATGATTTGTAACAGCTCTTAGTAATGGCCTTTCCCCAATCGATGTAGCGTAAAACTGAACCGTTTTGTGGCCACTTTATCAGCCATAATGTGCCCGTTTACCGGGCTCTGATGTGCCCGTTAACCTGCCGCAAGGTGTTATTTAGATTTAGACATACATTTACTGGCCGCGATATACATTGTTTTTGTGCGTCCATTTAATCGGTCGAAGTACAATGCTCGTGTTAGTAGTGTAAGGTAAGTAGCGTTTTGTCAGTTTTATTGTCTTTACCGAGCCCATTTGATCTGTCGTGACCGTTTACTCTTACATATTGGTGGTATTTGGCCGGATGTAGTCCTAAGAATGAATTCTCTAGGCATCTAGTGCGTTCTCTCGCTATCTGTAACCGTGCGCTTTCAAAGTTTTTTTCCTCAAACTGGAAATTGGCTCCCTTTGAAAGCAGGATCACACTCACTCACACTGTCCGTTGTCAGCGCACTGTCAGCTCATCGTTTCACCGACCCCTGAACTCTGAAGCACGACTCACCCCACCGTATCATGTCGCGATATCAAAAGTTGTTCGTTCCTTGACACGCTTTCTTTTCCTTTCCTTTTTCAGTCCGTGGCAGCATATCGACTTTATGGGGAACCCTGCTGTGCCCGGATCTCTTACCTATCGTGGAGAACAACCTCATCTCCCTCAAATTCCCCGTGGAAAATCTCGCACAACGCCCGGCCCGGCGGGGCGCCGGGTGCGCGGAAATTCCGCGTCCTTCCGCGCGGGTCCGCTGCCGGAGCCGCCCGGTGTGACACGACCTGACGTGTGACGACGTGACGACCCGTGACGGAGCGCGGCGTGACGCCGGCCGCGCGCGCCGCCGCCCGCCAGTCGCGTCATCCGCCGCACGCCGCGCGCACGGCCGCTGGAGAACCGGACAGCCGCCGCGGACATCCGCCAACTAACCTGACCGGTCACCGGTCTCCGAGTGGTGCGGCCGGAGACTGAGCGCGGAGAGCGCACTGAGAGGAGCGCGCGGACACAACCCGTCCGTGCCCAGTGGCTGTGAGAGGACCCGCCGCGCTGACGAGGCCCCGCCGGGACCATGGTGGCCGGCGCGATGGTAGCCGGGACGCTGATGGTCATGAGCGCGATACTGCAGACGGCGGCAGACAGAGGTGAGTGGCCGCGACTCCGCCGGCCGGCAGCGTACCGCGGAGGCCGCACTGCACAATGGAGACAGTTATTTCCTCATTCTGATGAGTGAGATAGAGTAGAGTGAGTCGCCCACCATGACACTGCTTCCGAAAGTCGGTATGCATATTGCATGTGTTTGTCACTTTTCTGACCACTTTCGATCAATCCACTGGAACCTTTTCCGCATCGCGATACGGGCATTTCAACAGCAGGGTTTATCTGCTAAAATTTCACGGTAAATATAAAAAATAACTTCAGAAAACTATGGTCATATTTTTTTTCGCATTGATCAGAGCTTTTAAGGTTTTACGTTTTATCGATAAAAATTTATGAAGAGCCGCATGCCTTTTTCTCATGACCTTTATTTCCAAATGTTTATTAATGTTCATTCAATACCTAATCAATTATACCAAAAATAAAAGCTGTCTACCGAACTCCGCCGTAAGACCTTTCAAGCTTACGCTAGAGCATCAATCTTGACCGGGATTTGTAAGTAAAAGCCCGCGGTACAATTTATATGCAGGTATGATGGGCTGGATTATTCCTATATGCGTTGCATTCAAAAACTATATTTTATTCCTCAGACCAAACCCACTTGTACCCCAACACCATTAATTCATTCGGAGATCACTTTTTGCCATAACTATACCACTGAAACTCCGTTGAACCGCCGAGCCGATAATCCAGCTATATCGCAGTTATCTTCTTGTGTTCCCGAACAGTCTCCGCTGTGGATGAGGATATTTCCAAACAAGGGCTAGCCTGTGACGTATGGAGAGCCGCTAGCTTATGGATGAGTGGAGTTTTCGATGTCACCAACCGACCGTTCCACAGACGCATGTACAATAAATAAGTCGTCCTGCCATGGACACCTGGTCCTGTGCCTCCCCATGACACGATCCCACTAGGGACCGGTAGTCGCTT